ACAAATTCAAACCCACTTGCTACTAAATGTTTTTGGAATAGAATATAAATTTTTACTTTTACTTTTCATGGCAATTCACACTCATAAATATAGATTGAGGAGCCACATTAAAAGTGTTGTATAGTCTTGAATATCAATAGTACTGGATTCAGATTTTTAGTAGGCACTATACACAATTACTACTTAATCTTACAAAGTTTTCAAAAATATTCATTAAATACTTTCCATGTTCCAGGTGGCTCCTCAATTCAAATGTTTAGATTGAGGAGCCAGTTTTACATTGACGTAACTTTGGATATATCTTACTACAAATTTCAGGATTTGTCCTACAAAATTATTTTTTCACCTACTACTTGCCGTTTAAAATTCGTTTAAATTCTAAAATGGCTCCTCAATCCATACGTACACTATACATTTCACTATGCCAAACGTCAAGCCAGTGCAAAGTACTGTGATGATTAAGGATGTCGGGTTAGACCTTGTGGACACTACGACATTTTTAGGTATAGCACTAGATTCTAATATTTTTAATAATTTTGATAAATTATTGAGTAGATGCAGCTCAGCAGCATATGCAGTAAGAAAAATTCGAGAGTTGACTAATGTTGCTACAGAACGACTTGTTTACTTCAGTTATTTTCATTACATAATGTCGTACGGTATTCTACTATGGGGGAATGCCATTAAAACTATTTTTGTACTGCAAAAGAGAGCAATCCGAGCAATTTAGGCAATCGTTATTCATCGAGGCATAAATTTAAAGAAATAAACATAATAACAGTGGAAAGTCAAGATATTTATGAAAATGTAATAAATGTTGATAAAAACAAAGTTAGACTTCTTTAAAAAATTGATGTATATTCTATAAATACCAGAAATAGAAATAAACTTGTAGTACCCGCCTCTAGACTCCATGTGTCCGATTTTATAAGAAAATCCTAAATAATATTCAAGACTTAAGTATTAACAAATTTAAATCCGCAATCAAATGTGAATTATATCAGAAAGCCTACTCAATTGTGGATTACATAGAAGACAAAAATGCTTGTGATTAATTTAGCGCAAGCTATTCCTTAAGTAAAAATGTTGTGTGAGCTAGTGTTTTTTTTTTCTATTTTTTATGTTTGACTTCATTTTCTGTTTTGTTCGATTTTTTTTCTCTTAATCTTGTTTTCTCTTCCTTGTCTTTCTACCTTTTAGTCCTTAATAACGGACATACCTACTGGCTGGACTACTTTTTTTTATTTTATACTTTGTAAAGATAAAAAAAAATCGTGAGGGCGTTAACTTGAGTATGATAAAAGGTACATGTTTAATTAATCGAGGTATTGGTAGCTATAGTAAGCTATTTGTGCTATTATGGATAAATAAATGATGAATTTATTAAAGGAGTTTTTAGATTCCCATTTTTTTTTTGTTTTTCTGTTGTAAGGAATTAGAACATTCTAAAAATGACTAAGTTGGCACTAGGTCTGATAAATATAGTGGCTAATGGAGATTTTCAAAATGTAATTTCTTTACCTATCTTTACATTCGATCTGTTTTCCGACAGTTAATTTTCAAGCATCATTTGTAATCCTTTACAGCAAGTGTACCTATTATCATAATTTAAACTCAATTTATCTTTGGAATATGAATGTACAACCTATTATATTAAATAAGTGTGATATTAGCGGTGGCATTGAGCGTCTATCAGTATATTAAAACAAAGTGAGTCCAATTCGCTCACCCAGACCGTCATGTAAATTTTGTCGAAGAATGGCGTTGATATGATAATACTATACCGTTTTGTGCATCCTAAGATTTAGAATTTTACTGCTCAATTTGTGTTTGCCTTATGACTACAATATTCTTTTTAACTTAGAAGGAAAATATTGTCTTTTGACGTAAATTTGGTCCATGAAAGGTGTGGATATAATCATAGCGTCATAGTCACCATCAGGTTGAACATTTTACCGCTTAATTTGAATAGACCCTAAGGCTAACGAATAGGGAATGAACTTACAACAAAAAAAACCTATGTAGGTATTATCTCTAAAATAAGGTAATTTCACATTAGAATTAAGCACAAATATTAATAAAGGGGTAACTTTATACGACAACGGTCACATGTATATTACTAATATAGATTAGGAACTGGATTGTTAAGTAATTGGATACTAAGCCACAGTTTAAAGTTACCTAACAAGCTGACCGCTCAAGTTACGGTACCTATAAGGTGTCACATGTTAACTAAATAAATGTACTTATTCGAATATATATTTATTTTAGATGTTATTAACAGAAGAGGTGCATAAAGAGGTATTTGCGTTATCTAAATATTCGGGATTGAAAAAACGCCTTTTACGTAAGTTTAATAGTCTACTTCGGATATTTGCCTGACCATTTTGAGCGTGGGATACTCTTTTAATATTCACCCCATTCATTGTTTAAACTCTCAATTTCAAGGCGTGTTAGAAGAGAACTCAACTATGGTAACCAGACTACTGATATCACTAAATACATACATATTATGGATAAATTACACTCCAGAACAGAACAAATTATCGTGCTAATCACAAAATTATTTGTCGTTGGTGAGATTCGAACCTACGACTTCTAGCTTAGCAGTTACCAATAGACCAACAGTCTCATTTGTACAAACCATTCACCCTACGAGTAATTTGTGAATGTTTTTTGTATAAAATAAGAAGAAATAAATAAATACCCCTTATAGCAGAATTGTTTTTGAAAGAAAGTAATGAAATAGGTACAAATTATATTTATTCACTTAATCAATAAACATTTGCTTATATTTATACTTGGACTTACATCTACGGAATTAAAACTAAATGTATCATAATTTACCAGTCAAATAAGTTTACAAATAATATAATTAGTTTGCTCAGCGAAAGATGCAAGACGATATGTAGGTAATAATGACTTTCTCAGTATTCAATATCTTCAAATAAAAAGGAAAAGTATTTATAAATTGTATACATAGAAACGCAATCATTGGTCAGCCCTTTTAATGGCCCCAATCGCAATCAATATACAACTCGTCTGGTTAATAAAAGTTTTGTAAGTAATATGAATATATATAAAGGATAACTGATTTTACTTATGTTCATCATCATCTCAGCAAGCAATACGTCCACTCCTGGCCACAGACATTAGCCTCTTCCAAGGTTCGCTACAACAACTGGTCCTGTACTGCCGCATTCAATGGCTTCCCGCGACCTTCACCACGTCGTCGGTCGTTGGACCACATTAGCTTTATCTTTCAACTTTTTAACCCCATTTCGGCGATGCCCAATTATCGAATGATAAAGAGACCTTTAGCGTCGGTGTATATCGCAGTACATCATCGAAATACAGACGTGAATAAAACCGATTATCCTTTATAAATATGCAAGTATATACTACACACGTTGAAAAATATAGTATATCCATAGAAATAAACGGCAACAAAGAAGCATAATGCATGATGGGTAAGATATAGAAGATGAATTCGACACATTTATGTCGAGTTTGCTCTCAATGAATAATTTAGTACTACGACTGCATACTACATTACAAAACTAATAAAATACAGCAATTGATTGCCTTGCTATTGTAATATTGCGTAAATGAATTGATGAATAATTCAAGTGGTATACGACACATGTCTACAATTGGACACAATCCGTTATGTTTCGTTTTACGCCGCATAAGGATTGATTTTTCTCTGACCGTGATATATCTACATATGCTATGGACTATCTTTAGTTACCATTAGTTACCACTTCTAGATTGTCATTGTTCACTATGCGTAAAGACTGAGATGTATTTAGAGATGAACACTGAATTGGACTGGATATTGGAAACCCAATGTCAGTGATTTCAACTGGATTGTTGTTTATTATTGAAAACTATATTTTTATCACCACTTCCTATTCAATTTTAGTCACCTGTTTACTTATAAATTCACCATCATTAGCATTAACAACAGTAAAATAAAACAAGTATTTAAATTATTCACTCATTATATAGTAGGCTCGACACCAATCCAATGATGATGAAAAATTTCAAATGGACTGGTTTACTTGAAATTTTATTCTGCAAAGTAATTGTCACTGTCTTTTTTTCACTTACACTATAATACCAGACTTGCGTAGTTCAAAAACTATAAAAATCGTGTCGTTTTGCTATGGCCGAATTAGTTAAGCTAACTGAAACCGGTCTAATTGTAATACTGATAATGTAGGATCTTTCAAAATCTTGTAAAACAAGCTAATTATTAAAGGAATAAACAAAACTTGACTGCGTCAAAAAGTAAACTGTAAAACAAGCTAATTGTTGAAAAAAAATAAACAATACCCTGACAGCTTATAAATGTATACTGTAAAATAAGCTAATTATTGAAAAAATTAACAAAACCCTGACTTCGTGTAAATGTATACTGTAAAACAAGCTAATTATTGGCAAAAACCGGCGAACATACATACACTCGAAACACATAACCCTCCTTCTGGGGCAATCGGGTCTGTCGGGTCTATCTTATTTTTATTACGAGATTTGAAAATCCATTTAAATAATCGGCAGAAAACGAATCTATTAATCTAAGAATAGATCGTATTAAAATCGATGTAATCTAAATGTTTTAAAACCAGTTTCAATTTTATTTCCTGATCCTGCTTACAAATTAAATACTCAAAGTCTTTATTAACTGCTAAACAATTCATGTTGAAGATATTATAAATACTATGGTGTAAAAAAACTTGTTTGACCAGTAATCTTAGGTATAAGCGCTGCGTACGACGAAATTCTCACAATCCGATAACAGATAAGAATCATGAGGGGAAAAAGGAGCCTCTCGAGAAAGAACACTCTGTTGCCTATGTTCTAAAGTATTCAATGTATGGTAGACCAATTTAGAAGACGGTGATAAAGCCAGATAGTCAAATAATTTAACTTGATTCACATGTTGAAATGTTTAGATTGTACAATTAAAATTTGCAAACTTTTTACTAACTTACAATTTAAAAACTCATATTGCTAGGCATCGAAGAGACATCTTCAGAAGGACTTTGGCTGGAACTGAACGAGCTCAATGTCTCGCGAGTTTCCTCTTTAATCTTCAAGTGTTCGGTGCTCGAGGCAGGCCTCGGAAGTAACGAGCGGTCCTTATCTTTGTGTTCTTTTGATTTATCCTTACTGCTGTGTTTGTGCTTATGTTTGTGTTTGTGCTTCTTTTTCTCCTTTTTCTTTTTCTTTGCCTGTAAACAAATGATTATCAGTTTTATTTTGCATTGGAGTTGTGTAAACAGTAAGAGCCACGTTTTCTTATCACTTTCGACCTCGATCAACCTACTAAAACGTCGTGAGGGAAAGTACATTCCTGAACGTTCGGCATAATATTCAAAAGTGGCTATTAGTTTATTTTCTCCAATATTATTACAAAAATAATGCATTATAGGGTTTGTTCGCTTTCCTAAACACATCAACGGTCCAATGGTTAAGGCGTTCAACAGCACCGAAATAGGTCTGAGTTAGCTTGCCACTTCGTCCTTTATGTTCGCGTTACGCTAGCCTTCGTCAATTCGTCACTTAACACTATCTATTTACAAAAAATATCCCTATCTATTGACAAAATACCTACTCACAACGCACACGTCACACTCTTCAAAACTACTCTATAATTAAACTTCTTATTATGAAATACTATTTAGGTAGATACCAATTCTATAAACAACTTTAAACAATTTAACAAAACACTACGAGAAATCGAAGTCATTTAAAACAATACCTAATCTCCCGGCCACTTGCTAATGCTGATATATAATATAATAAACAAAATAAAATATTCGAGAATTAAAAATTCAATTAATAATATTAAAAATTTACTTATGCAATAAACAATCCTAGATACGTGCATTTCTTTTAAAATAGACAATGTACGGGTGCGGACCGGCAACCGTGGTACACCAATCAGCACTCGTACGTGTAACACCGAAAGCCTATCTAAAATAAAACCTAAGTACCTAAATCCCTAAATTCAATAGATGCCCTAGCCCTATCAATATGTGACCCTGCGGGGAGGGTATATATACATACCTATATAGATAGTGCGGGAAGTCTCGTTACAGGGAGACCTAGGGCAACAGACGGATAACGAGAAGGGAGCGATGTTTAAGAGTTGGTTTTCTCACTGCCGGTCTAGCAGGCTTATAGGACCGATCTACTGACGGCTGAAGGTGTCTTGTGTTTCAGTGAGAGGTGGAACAGGGTAATGAATCGAAGTCGGAGACAAAATAACTGATTTATTTACAGAAACTAACTACGAGTATGTGTTAGAACTGATTTGTTTCCATATTATATTACCAGATATATGGACCGATTTAGCAGGGTACTTAGCGCGTGTTTGATTTTTAAACAGCTGGTCGAAAATGCAATTTTTATTTGAGTACATTTTTCCGGAAACCTTTCTGGGAAGTTTCCTCATGTGACCCATGGCTGAATATTCACTGAGGAATATTTTGTATTGTTTAAGTTTTTATTTTTAGCGAATTTCCTTTCCAACTGTATTAGGCTCGCAATCACTATAGTTAAACCGCCGTAAGCTTGGCCCTCCTGATGGTTTTGCGGGACGCGGGGCGGGTAATGCGCTCGGCTATACATGACACGATGTACTAACTCGATATCTTCAGATTTATTTGTTTGAGATTTAATCTCCACACGATGTAATAAAAATCGAATTTATTTCCATGTATTATAATGTCAGTGTATTGTAAGTTTTTATGATTAATTGTAAAATTTAATACTGTAAAACAATTTTAATAAAATAACCTTATCTTCATCATGTAAATTATATTCAGATACAATTTAAAAATTAAGTAAAATAATAAACATTCTTTATTAGAACTTTAACAGTAGAACCTCTGTAAGCCGAACTTGAAGTTTTTAAATCTTTTTGTGACGCAGAGTCGGCAGATTATCCATGTTGCAAAATAATACCGTGTGTAGCAGTCTTAAGAAAAATAACACGTACAGCCATGCTTTCATGTCAGTCACTGCCGGCGGTCAGTGACGCACTAGCTAATTGGTTGAATGCACCCCCGCCCCGCGTCCCCCAAACCATCAGGAGGGCCAAGCTTACGGCGGTTTAACTATAATTGACGAGTATTCCCATAATCCTGGTTCGGATTTTCTAATGGTAATCTGACAGTGTAAGTTCCATCTTGATTTCTTACGATAGTTTTTTTGTAGTAGATTCGCACGATTGGTCCATCGTTCGATAGTTTGTATATTTCGGAAACCTCTTCAAATTCACAAATTTCAGTAGTTCTAGTTGTCATGCTTAGAATCTTCGTATAGTTCTTAGTTACGGCAGAGTTTAATGGAGGCTACATTGAGGAGTTATTTTCTAGCTCCTTGGAATCTCTCTTTTTGTTATTGTACTCTATATTATGTAACACAGAGTTTAGGGCCTCGTGACCCCAATATTTACATTCTTTAAAACTGTGTCGATAATTCAAGCATTAAACAATTTTTGCACATACTCTTTTTCTGGTTTCTATATTACGTTGTTGCGTTGACAATGCAAAAAAATTGCAAATAAATTAAATGTTCTTGATTGCAACATGTAGTATGGGTTGTTACTACTGTTGTTACATGGCTCGGCTTGTTAATTTATTTTCTGAAATAATTGTTAGATTCCAGACACTTCACTCGTTTCTCCAGGAAACTCATCATTTCCCTAAACGATTGAGTTTGTTAGGCTCTTCTAATTGAGTCTCGTGTTTATTTTTTTTGGAATCCCAAATTCGACCCAATATTTTTGTAAAGAATGGGTCCCACGAAGAAATTCTATGTTTTGGTTTTTCAACGCTTCAACATTCTCGTTCACTGTGTCGTACAAGGTTCTCAGGTTAACAGCATCGCCCTTTTCTGTGGAATGTTTAGGATATTGTCAATATGTTTAGTGACAATTTGCCTTTCGTTCTTGTATCGTTTTATTATTAGTGACCATGTGCTTACGTAATGAGCATCACAAACGGTCAGGTGCTTAATCAGCTTTGCGGCGTGTCCGCGTAGATGGGTCTTTAGGTATTGCATTTTTTCTGTAGCTGTTAACGATTTATCCTCATGTATTATTGTTAAAAATAAATCGTAAAATGAATTCCAAGAATCATAGTTCCCATTGAACGTTGGAATGTTTACTTTTGGAATTATTACTGTTGAGCCATGTGTGGTATTGCCCGACTGTATTTCTCACATAATTCGTCAATTATGATGTCGTACTCTGCTCTTATCGTGTCAAACACTTTGTCTTGGAAGATATAATGTTCGATAGCGCCCTCTTTTTCAAAAAAATCGAAATGGGTTTCTTCGACCTTCTGCCATTGTTTTTGTAACGTTTCAAGTAACGTAGTGAAATGCGGCGTAAAATCCTTTGCATTCTCAAAAATTAATCGGGCCGCGCTCTGTCACCACACGTGTTAGCACTAATGCTAAATTGCTAAATGAACAAAAAATTAACCGTCCTAACAGTAAGCCGCTAACAGTTGTATTAATATTTTAGCACGACGATTTATTAAATTAAATTTAGTCTTCGCGTTGATGCGAATGAGAAAGCACACGTTGTGTGAATGTAAAGCGTTAAGGAATGAACCGACGAAATTTTGGTGTACGTATTAATTCATACGTTCACGAAATTTCACGACTATAATTAATTTGCTAACTAATTAAGACTTCACAATTAAATATGAGTGTGAAGACTAAATAATTCGTCACTAGTTTTCACCACTAAAGCGACTGATTCATGAGGCAGGTTTATATGTATAATAAATGCTGTAAAATAAAGGAACATCAAGAATTTCAAAGATTTATATCGTAAAGTCATAAAAACATATTTTTGTGCGCTTATTTTTGTACGAAATTGTATATCTTAAAAACATCTGCAAAACAGTCCGCAATGATATATACCTATCTCCTAAGGATAACCTACAGTAACTATTTTTATTTTTTACATATTATAAAAAAGAAAGGGTTATTTACGAAGCTATTTTGCACGAAACAGTATTATTCCTTATCTAATTAAATACAATAGATATTTTGTGCAATTAATGTAAATCACAATTGCCCTTTACAGCATATCATTAAAATAAATATCTTAGAATATATCAGCGATTTAAAATGCGGAGGGAAGCCGGGCGAATCGCTAGTAGCTTATACATGTTAAAGAATATAATTAATACCTTAGGAGCGCCCATGTCATCTTTATCGCGCCGGAACATGCCAGGTTCAAAGCCGATCGGTCCCGATGTTCCTGGAATCCCAGGCAGTGGTGCCGCATTGTCCGATATAAATTCTCGTTTAGAATCATCCTATGAAATATAACAGTAATATAAATCGCTTTATTACCACAACTTAAATCCCTCGAATCGATTCGTCTACCGGGTGTTTAGTATGCTTATGACATATTAGTAAAAATAATTACATGTTTGTTAAATACTAAATAATACTTATAATTTTATAATATTTTTGGATATTTATTACACAGCCATCTGGTTTCAAACTAAGCAGAGCTACTTCGTATTTATAGGTACAGACATTACACATTATATAGGTTTTGTTTTATACATACATATTTTGCATAGAATCTACCAAATGATGAATGATGTCCGTGTGGTGACGGATTAAGAATACAGAATGTCACCATCCCTATTCATCCCGTAGGTGTCGTAAGAGCCGACTAAGGGAGAAAAGTACCTACGCAGAACAGCACTGCAGAGAGAAGGAAAACTTGACACAAACCCTATACCAACCCGTCTGGCCAGCGTGGTATAAAAGGCCAAAACCTCCTTTCTAAGGAGAGGCCTATGTCCAGCAGTGGACTATTGAAGGCTGTTGATGTGATGTGATGTGATATACCCAAACTCCGAAACAAATATTTGCAGATCACACAAACATTGGTGCGACCCGGGGATCAAACCTGCTGTGCTGAGGTCGAGACCTCGAATACGCTATCTACCACTGCACGGCCGAGGCAGTCAAAACGGCCACTTTGAGTCACAATTCAGTTTCCATATCCGAAACATACGATATCCTAACTGTCTCGTCCTATCCGTTTTCCTTGTACAATTTCCCTACTTCTTAGGTCTAAAAACGATTACATTCTCAAAGAAAGTTGGTGTCAAACAGCGGCCAACCGGTAATAAATAACAAAACCTTTTCGCAATGGCACAAAGATTGCAGACACCAAATTAAATTGGGAATAGTGCAAGAAAATGATAATGATGATTATAGTCCGTCAACTTCGTGCACGTCCGTCCTGCGGGGTGACAGACGGTGGCGGGGACGAGGTATTGTCAACGGGTAGCGGGTGGTGTAGCGGGGAAGGGCAACGGGTCTAAATGCGCGTCAATATACGGCGTCTAGGCCGCGCATTCGAAGCGACAATACGTGTTGTACATTGGGTTCGAGTTTGCACACGAGATTACGATCTCACGTTGTTATCGAGCGATACGTCTTACCGACCGTTATGGCGGATTGGCTTGAGAGGCATCACGGGATCCTCTCATACCGGCTGACGCAAGTGCATCATTCAAGTGCAAGTGGGGAAAGGATGCTTCGGGGATCACCTATGTCTGATCTGTAAGGAGCCAACGCCTAAGTTCCAGCACTGTAACGGCCAGACCGTGGACACGGCGCTCCACACGCTGGCAGAATACCCGGCGTGGGTGAAGCGGAGGCGTGACCTAGTGGCGGCCATCGGGGTGGGAGATCTCTCGCTCGGTAACATGACTGCGGCCATGGTGCGGAGCGAGAGTGCGTGGAACTCCGCCGTCTTCCGCTGAGAGCAAGGTATGCTTGCGAAGCAGATGGCGGAGCGGACCAGGGGGGTTTAGAACTCTACCGGCCCGCCAGGCTCGGGAACGGGCTAGGTACCGCAGACGACTCAAGCGCCGGCGGTTGCAGAACGACCTCCGTCCTCCATAAGCGCAGGCTTGGGGGTGCAAGGTGAAGCCATCTGTCACCCTAGCAGAAGCAGACTGGGGTGGCAGATTGACACGTTGCGGAGCGCGCGCGTCCTTTCGGGAGCACAAAGGGAACATGGGGGTTGCCACACATGAGGGGGTCATCTACCCGCTATAGATATACCAGGGGTACCAGGGATTTACTTTCTAGGGTACACCTGGTTCCCAAGCTACTGGTACCTGAGACGGCGTGCGGTTTTTGATCGGTTCGAGTCCGACATAACCACCGGCCGTCCAGTCGGCCGGGTGGCGTAGTGGTTTGTGTAACGGATTGCTACGCCAAAGGTCGCGATTTCGATTCCCGCTCAAGTCAAACATTTGTGTTCATAAACATTTAATGTTTGATTTGGTCTGGGTGTTTCTATATATTTACAAAAATAAAGTATATATGTATTTATATCAGCTGTCTAGTACCCACAAGCTCTGCTTAGTTTGGTACTAGATGGCGTTGTGTGAAAAACGTTGTGATGGCAGGTGGTGGTCACTATCACCATCAGGTATGGTCATGGTGATGATGCAATTAATACGTAAAAATTCTTGCTATACATGCTGAATGATTTGTACCTATATAACATGTCAATAACGAAATAGCAAAAATATAATATTTACGCTATAAACTCTTATAGGCATTTCCGGAGGCACAGTAGTGACATCTATCTTCATATCCTCCTCCTTAATATTGGATAACGGCACCGGCAGCAAATCGTCTAAAGGAGAATCTCTTATTTTGTCCATCGTTGACATAGGCAGAGGAGCGTCCAAGGGACCAATAACTGGGTCGTAAGTTAACTGGAACAAGAGCGTACAATAAGGTTGGTTTCACTGATGATGATGATTTAGTTGATTTTGATTTACCAGGCAATTCAAAATATAAATATTGATGAAGGTACTTGGAAAAATAATAAGATCATTAAAAGTATTTTTTGATGTATGTTAACTGAATACAGATTTTGCGAATATTTAGAAAGAGCAGTAACCGGCTATTTTCAAAAGATTGTTTTACAAATTCCTTTACAAAAAAAAAATTGAAGAAATGCATTTTAAACTTTGGTTGCATTTTTTTTAATTTCAATATAGTTGAAGTATTTGGTTGACTGTGACCTAAAATATTAGGAATTTTACATATTGAGAAAAATCGTAAATACTTTACTAACATCTTCAACTTCTTGCTTTATTACCGGCTTAACCTCCACCTCTAGTAGTCTTTCTCTTTCCTTTTCCTTTTCCTTCTCCCTCTCCCTCTCTCGCTCTCTCTCTAACCTTTCTCTTTCCTTATGATGCATCTGTTTCATCATTGCTTGTATTTCGGGCAAGGGCACGCATATTGGCCTCTTTAGCCCATATAGTGTGTAGTATAAATCTACGAGATCACATCTCAGTCTAGCGTCGTTAGACAAATGGCAGTTTATGGTAGTCCAGAGTCTAAAATGGAAGAAAGAATATTAGTTTCCACTTAACTTTATCTGAAAATGTACCATAATCAACAATAGAGATTCAGAATCGGTAGTAAAGAAACTAATTTAACTAAATTTGATTGCAATTGCCCTTGACCAATCAGGTTTCAAGAAATTATCGTTTCGTACGAAAGCTTGGCACCTGACTGGTCAGGGTGCAGGGCTTGATCGATGCGTCACTATTGTGCTAATAGACTATAGGAGAATTTTTAAGCTATCACATCACATCAACAGCCTGTAATAGTCCACTGCTGGACATAGGCCTCTCCTTAGAAAGGTGTTGGCCTACTATACCAGGCTGGCCAGAGGGGTTGGTTTAGGATTTATGTCAAGTTTTTCTTCTCTTTGCAGTGCTGCTATCCTGCGCAGTTCGCTCCCCCAATCGACTCCTACGACACCCACGGAATGAATAGGGGTAGTGACATTCCGTATTCTTAATCCGTGACCACACGTCTAAGCTATACTGTGACATATTTTAACAACTGCACATACCTATGTACAACAGCTTCGGTATCGAGACGATGTCTTTGCGCAGGTTCAAACGGTGGCATGTTAATAAGTAGCCTCGCGAGGCCATGCCTCACACCGGGGTCTGCATCGCTCTCTACGGCTGTCAACAGTGAAGATAAATCCTCTGGCTTTCCATCCACGCGGACAAAGTCTACAAGACACTCGAACGCAGCGAGACGAACATCTAGAGACATTTTAACTATATGTACTACAAAATAACATGTTCATGTAATCCTGTATAGATTTTACGAACATAGAACTTACTAATAAATAAAAGAAAAGGCTCAGAGAATAAGTATATGTTAGTAACTGTAAGGCATCAAATTTAACTAAACGTGATTGAAGTTGGTGAGTTGACAACTTAACTTACGACATCATCTTTTTAACACAAACAATGATAAAAAGGATGATGTGAAATATATAAATTATTAAAATAAAATAAAAAATATCGTTATTTAATGTTTATTATAATAATTCCCTTTGTAAGAAAAAGCTTATACTTAAATTAAAAAAGATTAAAGGTTTGTCTATGGTACTGAACAAATTGTAAACATAGATTATACACATATTACATCCAATTACTTACCTATATATTGTCCATATTGTGCATACGCTCTGAAAACCATCGGCGTACTGGGCAAGTGCCCACACTGCTGTAATCGTCGAATAGCCCTCAAACAACTGACTGTAACTGTGTTTTTATAGCATGGCAACACTTTCTCCAAATTCAATACTCGAGTGATTTCTTCCAGTACTAGTCTTGTATCCGCAGATAACGAATCAGCTGTTATTGGGGCGCCCTGCATTTTACATTATTAGCTACAATTAGTTCTTTGTAACAGTATAACTCGATTATTACTACGTGACTAAAATTATTAAAAGTACCTCTTTTGGGATATTTACATCAATTATCTTTTATTCTTTCAAAGGTCGGAGAGCCGAAGTATGTTTGACACAAATGGGCCGGCTCGACCAGTGATAGCACGGCCTCAGAAAACCGGTGTCAAGCTTTTTTTTGTTGCTTTTCACCGAGTGAGGGGTACCAAAGGTCCAAAAGTCTATGGGAATTGACAAACTAAGGGCGGCAACGCACTTCTATCGAGTTGCAGGTAGTCACTTACCATCAGGTGACTTGTCTGTTGTCACCTATTGACAGTGACACTGACTGCTAAAACGGAGGTCGTGGGTTTGATTCCTACCCAGGACAAATATTGAGTTATGAGGACGATCACTTGTTCTGCGTAATTTATCTATAATATGTATGTATTTAGAAATATGTATGTTTAACAGCAGACCGGTTACTATAGTACGAATCTGCCTAGTTTGGAATCAGACGGCCGTGTGTGAGATATGTGAAATTATTATTAATATTAATGCCCCTATACCGTAAAAAACCATAGACAATCAATTTGTACACTCCACAAATAGTGAGGTAATATTGCTTGGCATTATCATCTGTATATTCTGAGTATCCAATGTCGTGATCTTGGACCAGCCCAAACCAGCGATATCAGGACTAAGTCAAATATGACCAAGGGCAATTAGAAGTACTTGTGCTGACTTTCCTTGCTCTGAATAAAATTTTCTACTTCTAGCAACAAATAAATGTTCACATATAAATAAACAATAGTACTTACTGGCTGTAACACCGATATTACTGGAGTTATAGTAGCGGCCAAAGCATCAACTAATGAAGCCTTGTAATAGTTGTCCGAAAAGTGATTTTTTGAATTGTCGTTATACTTAAACAGATCTAGCAGAAATCGTACAACTTCGGGGGGACATATGCCGTGAATGTTACGTAAACCTGTGTACAGACGGATATAACTTACATTAGGCAGAAACTACATTGACATCTTTATGTTATTACGATCAAGAATGACTAGGGATTCGCAAAAAGCACGAGAATCTACCATTCCGTATGTGTCAGCGTCGACAGGTCGGACTAACTCAGTGGGCTGTCCTCTGATCATCTGATAGATAGCCTTTACATAGCTACAATTATGGCAAATATTGGGCTGCTTAAATAATGATAAGTTGGGTCCCAAATAAACGTTTTTGATACTTCCAACATCATCAATTGAGATAAGTGTACTAATTTCACTTTATTATGTAGCAGCAAGACGCTTTGGTAGAAACCATGGCTGTTTGTTCCTATGATCAAATACTTCCTGGACGTGCCAATATATTTCAACTTGGTCAGTATCCCAATTTAATGCTGGAATATCAAAATATTAAACATCTTACCTGCCATGGCGACCGGTATAGTTTTCTGCAAGAAGTAATGCTGCAGATTATCAAAGTTATTCTGTTTAATAATATGAGGTGCAGCGAATGAACCAAACATCTTGCGAAATATCGTCAACATGGCTGGTGGTCCTGCCCATGAACTTATCATTGCGTTCGCCACCTAAAATATTATTTTATGAATACTAACTACAGTCCATTCGCGTTAGGAATATAGTGATGCATCTCTACCCTATTTGGATCAATAGGTTCCATGAAAGTAACATTTCGTACGAATGTTTGGAGCCTGATTGGTGAGAGTGTGGGGCTTGGGGCGTCGCTATTTTCTCAACGCTAATGGAACATAGTGGTCGCACACTGGTCGATATTCAACTAAATCATTTTTATATAATAAAATTAAAAACAAATTGTTTTATTGCCAAATACAATAACTCATCAAAATTAACTTAATTATAACAGCAAGGATAAATAAATGAATATGCAGTATTTGTAAGAGCAATGATGTCAATTTTCAATTACATTTTAAGATAAATTTTAAGTAAAGTATGAGATGAGAGGTGCTTTTATCTCAGCTGGAAGGGGTAACACTAACACTAGTTATTATAATATAGAATACACATGTTGCTAGTAATCTTTTCTAAAAATAATTTTGTTTTTAACCCAACAAATAAATTTAAATAGATAACTCTTACCTTTGTCAAGCAATGCGCAGCTCTACACCTAATTTTATAATAAGTTTGTTCATTTTCTATGACGTCAGTTAGAGCTTTTCTGGTAGCGGGCTCAGGGTAGTTGTGCAAAGCATCAATGGCCTCGCTTTGAGCCGTGACGTCACGCTCGTGACGTAGTTGGAACTGCCACTGGTAGTCAGGCTGGGATATCACGGTACTCCGCAAGAGTGACATCTCTGGGTCGAGACGGATCCACAAGACTGGTGAATCGCTGATGATAAATATTTTTTTATTAATATATTTATGTTATTCGTGATTACGATTAGATGCATGATGGTTCGTAAAATATACGTATATGTACTGTGATCTAAACCCTTTATTGATACAAATAGGGTAGATTTACATTTTGATGCTCAAACAGTAGACTACATTAACCTATATACATTGTTTCTACTAGCTTTGTTTATATTTTTCAACATAAGCCTTTCAAAGTTCACTGCTGAATTAAGGCCCCCCCAAAAACTATCCCAGTCTTGGGCAGAACGCATCCATCCACTGCCAACCACTTTCTTCAAGTCGTCGGTCCATCGTGAAGCATGGCGCCCTTCACTACGTTTTACCTAATCGCAAATTTTAATATTCTAATACTAGTACGTTCGTACATTTTCATTCAACAATAGAATTAATGACTTACTCCATAGCAGAGAGATCCATATCGACCTCTTCCCCAGTACACAGGGGGATCTTCTTCTTCTTATTTCTTCTACTCTTGCTATGGCACGTGATGTCCGCCTTCACAACCGTGTTTTCTATTTGTAACATATGCTTAAATGTGCCATCCAGCTCTTGAAGCTGTACTAACAACGGTCCGACGTACTTTCGTATACCGCGCTCGTGGACGCAGTCTTGTCGGATTTCTAGTTCTACGGTATTTCTGAAAGAAAATAGGTATTTAAAATGAAATAATTAAATGCAAGAATATTATTGTATTTATAAATTTGTCGAACACATAAACTTCATCCGTCATGTTCACTTCATACGATCATATCAATTATTTTAAGAACTCTACCATTGCTTTATGTACATTAAGTGTTTTACGTTTTCTTTTCTACCCATAAACCATCCTTATTCAATTTTTAACGATCTCTTTCTCTCTCTGTCTATCGTTTCGGGTCGTTCACTCATTATCTCGCTGTAACGTTATATCGATGTATTGATATGAGTTTTATGCCACACCAGACACAAAACAGTTATCCATTTTACTATTCTATTTCTCACCATTGCCTTTCCTTAATCTCAATGGAATACCTAATAATAAATGAGAGAATCGAGTTTGTTCAACAAACTTTTACGAAGTTACAAATAATGTGTAACATATTATGTCACATATTTATAATCATATGTCACATATGATATCAAACATCTAAAATCTTGCCTACCATCTGAGGACCTAGTATAAGTTTATTTCACATCGACTCAATTCTAAACTATTCACCAATCACAATGCCGAACGAGCTCACCGCGATGATCGAGTCGATGTGAAATAAACTCACACTAGGCCGTCTAGAGGCTAACTCATTTACAGCGCGTGCTTATTGGTCAAATCAAATAGCGCGCGCTTTCCCAGCTTCCTGAAACACACTTCCTTCTCTTTTCACGAAATTACTTCTACAGATTGCGAGAGGAAAGATGTTACACGTCAACAAATAGAATTTAAATCTCATTCATTCACTCTACTTTATTATATCATCATCAACAGCCTATACTAGTCCACTGCTGGACATAGGCCTCTCCTTGGAAAGGAGGTTTTGGCCTACTATTTACTACTACTTTATTATAAACACACTTTAATATCTCTCTTTCTATTTATATATCAATTAATGTATACCATACCGTTTACGATTGAAAACAGATGTCAGTTGGAACTTAGCGTGACCACCAGTCCGCACCCATTGGTCGACGAACACGGCCATGTCTTTGCCAGTCACAGTAAATATTGCCTTGACGAAGAGGTTCGTGGAGAGCAACAAGTGTCCCCACAGACCGCTACCGATCTTTGTGTTCGCTGCGTTAGTCGCCAAGGAAAGTTGCTTATTGAACACTTGCAGTAGAAGTTCTTGGCCAATGCGTTGTTCTAACATGCGTAGTACCAAGTGCGATTTTTTGCGCATTATCTGAATAACAACAGGTTACAGGTAAATATAGTCACTGTATACAGTCAGTACCTGGTAGTATTAACTACCAGGTACTGACTGTATACTAAATTTTGGATAAACATATAACTGTCTGGAACCTGAGAGTCCTCGGATTATGCACAAGTCAAGTAACATTATAAATTATTGAACATGTTTGTAATTAAATCCTATCCATTCTCATAAGCTTTCAATGTAATTGTAAACATTATATCATAGACTAGCTGACCCGCGCAACTTCGTCTGCGTCTCTCAATAGTAATAAATTTTCTCCGTTTTTGAAACATTCTTCATTGGTGCTCCGCTCCTATTGCTCTTATATAGCCTATAGCCTTCCTCGATAAATGGGCTATCTAACACTGAAAGAATTTTTCAAATCGGACCAGTAGTTCCTGAGATTAGCGCGTTCAAACAAACAAACAAACTCTTCAGCTTTAAAATATTACTCATAGATTAAAACATACACTGACATAAGGGATCTGCTATGCACGAGGGTGGAGCCGTATGTTAAAGCTAGTAAAACATAAATATAAAATTACCTCAATGTAGCGTGGCGACATAGTTTGGACATTGCGGACAGGAAAGTAAAACACATCTTTCTGTTCAACACGAGCGCCACTGGCTGGAGGCTGCCACGGGTCCAAGACAATTCCACCATACTGTTCCTCATATGCGACTACCTGTAAAATAATAATACAAATGACATTTTATTCTATTTATATTACTATTTTTCATATTTTCGAGTTTAATTGTTTATCAATGTTGAAACTTGTTGGGTATGAATTCATTTTAAGAGAATAGAAAAAATGTAAAAATATATTACTAAGTATACTATTTTAGTTCATCAAATAACGATATAAATTTTTTAAATTCAAATCGGTGTTCAGTTTTTTTAAACTGTTGGTTGAAACACCTTTAAATAATAGCCACCATATTTTTTCGTCATTTATTTACAAAGCCAACTGATCTGATGAGCACACTTTTTTTTTCCGTGCGTAAATCCCCTCGGATCCTATCGGTGGCATGTCGGACTCGAACCGTCTAAAACCGCACGCCGTCTCGGGTACTAATAGCCGGGGAACCAGGTATACCCTAGAAAGGAAGTCCCTGGTGCCTCGACATACCTCGGGCCATCTACAGACGAGTAGACGACCCCCCCGTGTGGGAACCCCATGTTTCCTCTGCTCATTGGAAGCGAGCGCGCTTCGCAACGCGCTCGCCGCCACCCCGGCCTGCTTCTGCTAGGGTGACAGATGGCCTCACCTGTCACCCCCAGGCCTGCGCTTATGGAGGACGGAGGTCGTTCTGCGACCTCCGGCGCCTGAGTCGCCTGCGGTACCTGGCCCGTTCCCGGGCCTGGCGGGCCGGGAGAGTTCTAAGCCTCTCCCGGTCCCGCTCCGCCGTCTCCTTCGCGAGCATAACTTGCTCGCAAAAGGAGACGGCAGAGATCCACGCACTCTCGCTCCGCACGATAGCCGCAATCAGGCTATCGAGCGAGAGAACTCCCACTCCGATGGCCGCCACGAGGTCTCGCCTCTGCTCAACCCACGCCGGGCACTCTGCCAGCGTGTGGAGAGCCGTGTCCACGGTCTGGCCATCGCAATGGTGGCACTCAGGCGTTGGCTCCTTGCGGATCAGACACAGGTGATCACCGACACATCCTTTCCCAGTGATCACCTGCGTCAGTCGGTATGAGAGGGTCCCGTGACGCCTCTCGAGCCAATCCTCCATAACGGGTCTTACCGCCGCGATGACGGCGTGATGCCCAGCGTTTTCGGCAAATTGCGCGCGAAAACTAAAAATGAAAATTATATAATGATATTATTACCTTATTAACAAATATTAATATCTAGCAAAGTTGAAATTGGTTTGTATTTGCCAAAATATGCTTACCTCTTGCAACTCTTGATGTGTCCAATATTTGTACTCATTGTTTCCAAAACATTTCTTAGAATACAAGCCACACAAATAATCAGGTATTCCCTTAGCTAGCCACAGATCTGACCAGTTCTGCATTGTGATGAAACAACCAAAGAATTGTTCAGCAACAGCTTGGGCCATGGCTTTGCGGCTCATGTAAGTTTGATCTATGATGGCTATTGAATGTAAGAGATGAGTACTCATTATGGACATTGTTGTATATGCTGTTGCATCATCTTCTACCTAAAAAGTAATGACAGGACTTCAAAACAATCTCATTCATGTAAAGCAGGGATTCCCAAACAAAGTTGGTACACGTAACCCAACTAATATAGTATCTTGAAAATTTCAAATAACAACTTGTGTTAATTAATAGGGGCGAATTTTAGACCATGTCGACCTAAAATCAGTTTTCGTTTAAATCGACCCCTGGGAAACCGATTTCCATTCCAAAAGGTCGATATCCACCACTTTGGGAATCCCTGATATAAAGCAACACAAGTTATTATTAACATTAAAGAAGTCAAAAGTCAACTATATAGCATCCATCAAGCCCCGCCCCCTGACTAATCAGGTTCCAAGAAATTATCGTTTCGTACGTAAGTTTAGAACCTTATTAGTCACTATTTCCTTAACCAACTTATTAGAAAACTTATTCTAACTAACCTCATCAACAAACACTTGCTTATAACAAGGATATGGATATCTGGTAGATAGTGTTTCTTCATAGTACTCAAATGCCTCATGCACATATCGTACAGTATTTTTCAATATCTGCAATAAATTTGGAAGACAGTAATGTGTAACTTCATTCATATGTGGGTCTACGTATGTTTCAAATGGCCTGAAAAATAAATAAATACATTCATTAATTATGAATAACACTGAATATTTTATAATAACAGAAGATCTGTATCAAAGAAAATGATCTTCTGTTATCTAATAAGTGACCTCACTTATTAGGTAACAGATCATTTTGAACTGTTTGCATATGCAAATAGTTATAGCATGCCACTCGATGAAACTAATTCCACTTCTGTTACTAAACAAACTAATATTAATCTAAAATAGCTTACCCAATTGCTAAAGCAATATTTGGAGCACATGCTGGTGTATTTACTAAATAGTGGAATGTCTTTCTCCTATGATCTGGTGTGTACACTACGTCAACCAGTTCACCACATGATACTGCAGTGAGGCATTCATCAACAGTAAACTCCAGTTTCCAAGTGCAGGGCTCTGCAAAACTATCTACACAGGGGAACCACAACCTTGCTGAGTGTCCATATGTAAACATGTGGGCAGATTTCTAAAAAAAAAATAAGCATGGCTAAATAGTTCTATATTTACGGTGTGTGTGAGTATGGTGGCAAGGGAAGGCAAAATTTCACAAATGAAGGAACATAAAATTAGAATCAGACAATAGAATTAGAATATAAAAAGTTTATGTATAGAAGAAGTGTGAATCTTGTGTAATTTTTGAGTTTAGTAAAACATTGTTAAAAAAAGTTGATGCATTATAGTATATGATATGTTTATATAATGAAAGTGTAAGTTATACTGGATTTAAAAGAAAAAGAAAATATATTTTTTTATTAAATTTTTACAACCATTATACATATTTCTTTGCTTCTGCCAAACTGCAGGACAGTTTCTGACACATGTAGCTCCTTATTTTGTAATTTTATTTTTGTTTAATACATATATAACATGTTTCCTTTAAATACTACATGAAAAAACTGTTTAAACATACATTATATCTTAATTCCTATGACATATTAATGTTACCATGTAGGTTCTTAAGAAGGTGCTTCACCAATCCCTCCCTCATTTATAGATTTTTCTTGAATGAGAATGTAAAGCATGATTGAAATTATGAAAAAGACTGACCATCAAGTGATCTCTACTATACAATAGACTAAAACTAAAGATTAATTAATATTTTACCTATGACTATGGAGTTGTGATTAAAAAGCCATAATTACCTCTATTAATGAGCCTTCGCCTTCAGGAACAACAAAGTGCATTCCTCCTTGTGGGGACTCAAGTGAGAACTCAATGCCTATTCGTAGACCTCTTCCCTCTCCCACCAAATGAGCAGCTTCTTCTGGTATCTGTATGTGAAGCTCTCCCGAGTTATGATCTGGGTCTATCTTTTGGGCAGCCGCCAAGTGGCACTGAGAAAAGACCTCCAAAGATCTCCTGCATAAAAAAATAATTGAAATGGTATATTTTATATAAATGGTGGGCACCAAAAAATATCAGCAAAGAAACATTAATACTTGTAGCTAGAATTGTTGTTATTTGATATGCTCCTTTGTTATCCTATATTTTCATTATTTGAGAATAAAACTTACGTATTTGGATCAGCCTGACAAATGTCCAAGAATGGGTCAAAATATTGAAAGTTTGCTTCATATTGATCGTTCAGACACACTCTGTATATTCGACACTGCTTTCCATTAAGCCGAATGTAACGCAGATTGTCTTTTAAAGGCACAATAGTTAATTCCACAAACCCCTGAAATTAAATTTAAATGTTAGGATTATGGTAAAGGAAGGGAAGGGAAAGGTAACCTCTTAATCAAAACTTTGATTTATACTTACGATAACACTTCTCCTTTCGAAACTTATCCCTGTTAGGCTTAAAATTTGATGTGCTGTATAAAAGAATTTCTAAATCAGTAAATAAATATGATAAAACCAAACAAAATAAAAACAAATTTTCATCTTGGTGATACTTATAGTTTGAAAGGGCGACAGTTGTCGCCTGTCCGTTCCTTCTTCATTTTTAGTTCTTACTTTATTTCATTGCTACCCTGGAGTGCAAACATTATTTGAAATTGTCATTTGTTATTCTGAGTATTTATTAATTTATTTAGTATGCCAATTCACGAAAAACCACAACAATTACATGTATTTGACAGGACAGGTAAGGCAAATGTTAGGCATGGGACAAAATCACAGTGAACTGTGAAAGACCGGTGATTTATCATTCGATTTTTCCGTACGTAAGGTAGGGTTACAACCTACTCACGAGTTGTTGCAAATAAGCTGTTTTCAGACGATGCATAAAGACAATATTTCGCCTATTCAATAGTAAACCTAGTAATTATTTAATTATATATAGCTACCATTCCCTACATAATAATTTACTGTTAAATACCGTCTAACCTACCTACTTAGCAACCCTAACCTACGTACGCAAAAATGTGTGTTTCTGAACTTAATGACCTCGTACTTTTCACAGTAGGGTGTTCAGACGATCATTCTCATCAGTGGTGCCTTTGAGAGTGTAGTACGATGAGGTCGATGATCAACGGTGTACAAACCACAATTAAACAGTGCAGTTCATAAATAGACATAGTTAATCAAGGAGAACTAATGTAATTAACTTAACTATTTATACCTACGAGTAGTACGTCTGCTACATCGAAAATTCGAGGTCCCTTCTAAAAGTCTAATCTACGAAAGCTGAAATTTTTAAAAGTAGCTAAACGAGCCAATGTTATACGATTGCAGGATCAAACATGAACTAAAAACTATACACTAGCACTATTACGGTCATCTCTAGATCTGTCAAAATTTGATATGAAAGAGAAGAAATGAATGAAGAGTTCCATTGCGATATTACGATTGTTGGTGGATTATTGTAAAATTCGTAGCCTCTGAATACCGTGCTTAAAGACATCGTGTTATATGTGAAAGTTGTTTTGTTAAATTATACATAATAAACATTTTTCATGTTTATTTTCGGTTTTAGTGATCAAAATGTGGGAATCACCATACTTGACTTGTTTGTTTCTGTATATTTTTTCTCTCCAAATTATTGTCACTAATTCACGCACGTCTAATGTGTGGAAGCTGAATGCGGAAGAAGACCAAATTGTTGACGGTAGTACATTGTCTCAGGTCAGTCAGAAATCTATATTTATGTCTGTAAACATTTATATAATCAGTGCACTAGATTTTCTGCTACATACATACATACTTACCTTTCATTCTGTTACTCTACACCGTCTTAGTGCCGTGTTTACCTTGAATAAATATCTGTGAATTAATGCAAATTATCAGATGTTAAAGTGATAATTGTATCATACTGTGAGAAAACCATCAATAGTAAAATATAATGATAAATATTGTGGATTCGTTTCAGGATGATTCTGAAAAACCAAGAATGGGTGAAGAAGACCCTGTCTTTAACATAATAACATCAACGGTATACTATGGAAATACATGGACTAAACATGGATTTGATATGTTTTGCACAGACTGCCAAATTTATGAACAGCAGAGGTTTGTATATTGTTGTTAAACTGCCAATTAAATAATCAGTGTTGTCACTTTTATATTACATTATACAAATTTCTCAATACTTGTTACATTGTTAAGAAAAAGCCTTACAAAATAATCTCCCAAATTGTTATTGGTAGATAAATTGCCACCTCATGCAATGTAAACACAGGAAGTATTAAATAAAAAAATACTAAGTTTATTATTAGTTCTGATTTTAATTCTATATACTTTCTGGTATTTAAATTTTACCAATGACAAGATGTTTTACATCAATGTTCAAATATTGTTTACTTAAACATTATGAAGTAATATTAAAATAATTTTGTGATGTTGATTAATTTATAATATTATTTATTTATTATCATTATGACAAGAAGGATACAAAGATGTTGAACTATTAACATGAATGCTGTGTTGTATAGAAATAGAACATTGTTTATAGTGCTGTTTATAGATAATAGAAAATTTCCTTGTAACTTATCAATAGTAATATAATAGTTAACTGTTAATTCATATCAATTCCTCTTTATTAAACATCAAAATGAGTTATGGTATCACAGTGCTATCACCTATTTATTTTATTATTATTATTTGATTTAAAAATAATAGGAGTTTGAAAACAGTAATGAATATATTTTTTCATAATTTTATGCCTTACGTAGTTTCATGAGGACTGTTAAACAATTTATTTTAAACATAGAAATTGATGCAATTCTTACTTGTTTGGCCATTGTCCCTATATTCAAAGTGGCATGTTAAAAGACATGTTTTACCAGAGAAAACTAAAGTTTTTAACTGATTGGACATTAAAAGTGATAAAGAAAAACTAAAGCACATGTTAGAACCAAGTGGTGAGTTCGTCATAGTCAGTTTTTTATATAGGTACATAGACTGCATCAATTTATCTGTACCACAATTGGATATGCCTACATCAGGGGCCTAGTGTGTGTTTATTTCACTTCAACAATCATCACGTTGACTGCATTTGGCGTCCAACTCACTCACACCAGGCTCACTGACCACAATCTAGCCACATGCAGAACTGGCTAACATTCATTGGCTAAGTTTATTCAAGGAAAGAAAGAAGACTATAAAAGTTTAAAACAACTTTTATTATTTACAGAGCTGGTGTTGAAAATAGTGATGAGACAACACCAGCTGAAATAAATGGTGATGCAGATGATGAGTACTTAGATTGTGGCAAGGCTGTTAATTTCACATACTATGACAACTTGGTTGGTGTGGCCCGACGACACAGACATCCAAATGTGCCCGAACCACAGGTATGTACAATGTAACCTTAGTTAAATATCCAGTTTGGAAGTTTCATGAAAATTAGTGATCTGTAAACACTTATATTAAACATAATTCATTTAATAATTAGCAAAAATGTGTATACATTTTAAGCTAATATAATTTTTGTTCTTTCATCACATTCAACCATGAAAAAAAAAAAGAGAGAGACATTTAAGTTTAAAATAATATTACATGTACCAAAATACCAATAAATTAATACTTCTTAATTAATCAAAACTGTTATTATAGCAATGTTTACAAATATAGAGGCAATTTTCCAATTCTGGCCAGAAATGAAATATTGCCTCTGAACACACATCCACAAGTTCTGATTATCTTTATAAGTTATTATGTTTTGCTGCAGGCTTGATTGCAACAATACCTATATATGTATATTATTTTGAATGTCATTTCAGAATAATATACATAAATATATAGGTATGGCTGAGTTGTGGCCCTTTAGTCACACACAGTGATCATTTTATTCTTTTGTAATTATTTGTTTTTGTTATTGTTTGTGCTATTCTTCAGTTGAGCAAATTGTTTCTTTTCTTTTCTCTTCTATGCTATATCTGTAATTTATTTTTTGTTGTGTTTGTGTTGTGACTAATAAACGTCTTTCTTTCTTTCTTTATTTCAGACTTGAGTAACTGAATTTTCAGAAGCATTTTATTGTTTGTGACAGTTACTTTTTGGTTCCTGAATTTATTAATTGATTCCTTTTAGGTGTCCCTTATATTTCCAAAGAAGAAGTCAAATGGTCTGTCGCCATCGGAAATAAACGGGTTTGAGAAACGTCTAAAGAAGGCAAAGAGGGAGAAGCCAAAATCAGTTCAACTGTACAATCAAATTGGCAACTTCTGGAGAATCAAGGGTGATACAAGACAATCAATTGAGTGTTTCAGACGCGCTCTTGCTGTCTCACCATATAATGCAGAAGTAAGTTCATAACCATCCATTAACCCAACTACATAATTGTGTACTCTAATCCCTTTAAAATGATTAAAACATTGTATTTATGTATTATTGTCCGTGTGGTGACGGATTAAGAATACAGAGTGTCACCACCCCTATTCATCCCGTGGGTGTCGTAAGAGGCGACTAAGGGAGCGAAATACGCAGGACAACAGCACTGCAGAGAGAAGGAAACTTGACACAAACCCTATACCAACCCGTCTGGCCAGCGTGGCATAGTAGGCCAAAACCTCCTTTCTAAGGAGAGGCCTATGTCCAGCAGTGGACTGTTAAAGGCTGTTGATGATGATGATGATGTATTATTGAAACTAATAGTTTCTAATGATCCAGTGAACTTTTGAACACTGAATCACGTGAACCACTGAACGACTTGATAAACTAATAGGAAGTAAAAAGTGTACACGTAATAAATACTTACTTAAAATTATTGCCTAACCGAACAAGATTTCTCTTTAGGTTCGATGGCGCCACGGCGTCGTGGTGAGCCGCTTGTTTACATAATACACATACGTATAATGCGTATTCAATTTTATATATACATATATGATTTCAACTACAGCCAACTTCAGTCAGTTATTAACTATAATATTTCAACTAGTTCTACATAAATTTCAACACATTGTGTGCAGATTGATGACTTCATGATGAGTTCGACTGTTTTACGTCGTAATACTTGACATAGCTAAAATTTATCAAACCGTTTCGGTGTCAAATTTGGATGACATCTGTACTGTAGGGTCCCCATGATACAAAAGGTTTAGTAAAAAAATTAAATAAAGAAGAACCTTTAATATTACTGCCCGCTGTAAACTCTTAAACCCAACGCACGCAACAATATCAAAAGTCTACCGGGAAACACCTTTTTTTGACCAACGAAAAACATGTTCCACAATGCTTTTCGATTTCGGCTCATACGTTCGTTACGCCTTATCGTACATAGATAGATAGAATATGCTTTATTGTACACCAATTACACAAAGATAAATGGATATTATTACAAACAGATATGTACCTACCATGGGCGGCCTTATTGCTAAAAGCAATCTCTTACAAGCAACCTTTGGATAGACAAATCGACAGTAGATAAAATAAACATTAAGCTATTAATATACATATTTCCAGTTTGAACTGCCAACAGTTAAAATACCTACTGTATTATAAATTTTATATTTCCAACATCAGTGTTAAAAGTACTTTGTATTTTATATTGTAGCTAAAATTATTAATACGAAATTGAGTTTGTTTGTTTACTTAGGTATTTGTTTGTTACGCTTTCACGCTAAAATAACTTAACCAATTTTCTTCAAATGTTGCATACACCTGAGCACAGAAAAAGGCACAGGCTGTAGATTAAAATGCAAAAAAAGTATCTACTGTTCTCAAGATAAACGCCAATTTTTAATACATGCGAAAAGCTAGCATGCAATCGTTTATCACTTTAAATAATTAAAGTATAGCAAGCATTTTTCCTAAATCTAAATCTGCTTATAAAATATATAAATTATAAATGTGGTATACATTAAAAAATAATCTAACTGTCCATCGTGAGGCAACTTGCGTATTGGAGATTTCTGCACAATGTTCTCGGAGGTTCGCTACAAGAGTGAGTCGATGTCGAAATAAAAAAAAAGATTAATTTATTGTTACTTTATTATTTTTAACGTAGACGTTCAGTATGTGTTAACGTATAAATGTACAAATGTAACATACACTTAAGTTATGAATAACACAAATGTACTTAATGTTATTAATACTCTAAGGCACAATAAAAACCCGTATGTATCGTACCCGTATATCGTCTAGTTAATAACTTTAATTAATTTGTGTTGAAAGACTAACTCAGAACCTCACTTCGCTTTTTCTCTTGATAAACATATTAGCAAATAGACTAATATTTTAATTTATAATAGTCCAAGAGTGATGCTCTGAAAACAACGTGTTTCCCTCTCTTTTATATTTATTTGGTTTAAATAATCTTACTTACCTTTTTAGATATTGCTAATCCAAAAAAGAAACAACTAGGACCAATCCTGACTTATACTCTGATCAAAAGTAAAATATCCTTATTAGATTACTCTGTTAAAGCTCATGATGATGATGATGATGAGATTACTCTGTTAAAGCTATGAGAGATTATGGTTAACAAGTTACAAGTTAATTATTGAAAAAAAAAGACTCGACTGCGTGAAAGTGCATAGGTAGTTAAAGATATAATTTTTTATTCACACAAGCCGTTCAGACAGCACAGCACGCCAAAAAAATATATTGTACCTACAAACAAACATTTGAAAAACACAACCCTCCTTCCGATCCAGTCGGGTAATTAAAATACAAACAAATCGAAATCGAATTTAGATTAAAAAACTCGTTGCGCACTGTGTTTCCAAAACATTCTCTTTTTCGGAATCTCAGTTGGTACTGTCCTGGAATATCCCTCCCATGGCCTTTCTAGTCTAACAAGTTCCTGCGTTATTCAGTAAGAAAAAGTTCGCAATAACGAATTTGGTGCTGTAATTTATAAATTATATTAGTCGTTCGGTAAATGTATAAAATTACATGATGATAAAATTGCGTCGATACAATAAATACATAACTGATGTAAGTAAATTTTGGTCGATGTGGGGCAATACCTACTTTCACTAACCAGCTGTGTTTACTAGCGAAGTAAAAGCTTGTTTATTGACAATAATCGACTCTCCATAATACATAAATATATAGATGAGCGGGGTCTTACGTTTCTTCATCATCATCATCATCATAGGCCTTTTCTTACAAAGGAGGTTTTGGTCTACTATACCGCTGGCCAGACGGGTTGGTATAGGGTTTGTGTCAAGTTTTCCTTCTTTTCGCAGTGCTGTTGTTCTAAGTAGTTTTCTCCCTTAGTCGACTCTTAAGACACCCACGGGTTGAATAGGGAGAGGGGGGGGGGGGGAGTTACACTCCGTATTCTTAATCCGGATTACGTGTATTAGCGAAATGGAATGACATGTAACTTTTAAATAATAAGTTAACATTCACATAGACTTGTGCTTTATTTTAAATAGGAGCCTCATCACCATCAACAGCCTTTACTAGACCACGTACATAGGACTCTACTTACAAATGAGGTTTTGGCCTACTATACCACGCTGGCCTGATGAGCAGAAAATGTATTTAGGACATTTTCTACTAATCAAGTTCCATATTTGCATTAGGAAACTGCCAATTTAATCACGTAATACCAACAATAATATTATTGTGCCATAAAGGTGCTATCTCCTAGGCTAGCTTTTAAAAATTCAATAAAATATCACGTAGCATGAATACGATAATGCCGCTTCGTTTTTATATAGCAATATAATTATATTCCTGTAATCAGCAATAAGATTATTTAATTGTAATAATACACCATTGTTATATGACTCTAAGAATTTCAAAAGTTGTTTTAAATATTATGGTGAAATGCTTGTAATCAAATAAATTTGTAAGACTAAATAGAAATGAATGAATATCTAGTCCTATCCAGTTTATACTACTGATTCTTGATCACGAACAATTTCATCATCACATCATTTAAGAGATTGACTCGTTTATTTTATAAGAGTTGACCCAACCAATACAATACATCCTGAGTATAAAGATACCATCTTAATTGTACCAATGACAATTTTTCCTTTATTTGTGCTGTGTGTGTGTTCCTTGCTTTTTGCCAAATTTCGTGATTCCAGGACAGTAGTTCTCGTTGACCTATCAACGGGAACTATCATATAGGTTTTCGACCCAAAACCTGTAGGGTAGTTCCGGTTGACCTAGTATTGTCAATTTTGGTTAAAAGCAAGGTCTTACAGCACAAGTAAAGAAAAAATTCCGAAAAATAAAACATGTTTAAAATTAAGGTAAATTTTGGTACCTACCAGTTTTCGCAAAAATTTAAATTTGCTCATATCTTTTTATCGTGTTGACTCAGGACCTTCATTTTATACATGTAATAGGGACTATAGACTTCAGTTCCTGAGAAAATCGGTGGTGACACGGACAGACAGACAGACAAGAGAGTGATCGGAGGCAAGAGAGTACGGAACCCTAAAATGACACTCCAGGAGTAGTCTCAACTTTTTTCCTCTGGTTTGATTAATGAAAATGTATTACACACTACTCTTAAATCATATACTCGTACGATCAAACATTGTCACTAACTTACGTATTTTTAGGTCCTTCTGAACCTTGCACGGGTGTTATTCACCCTGCAATATCTGGACGACGCGATCTACCTAACGCGGCGGTCCTTGGAGGTGCAACCGCCAGACCGCAGCGCGTGGCAACAGTACTTCACTCTTGGAGAAATATTCAAAGCGTATGGACATTATCAGGTACATTTCATATCAGTTGTATATTTTACTAACCGATAGTTGCGGTGTACATACTAGCATTATAGTCCTTAGTCTCAAAATTCCTTGTGTGACAAGTTTTCGCTAAATAATTTCCCCTAAAACAGCGCTAAATGAGCTTCAGTTAATTTTATACCATTTTAATTACCCAAACATTTGCCAATAGAAGTTAGGGACCTAACGAGATAGTTAAATCTTAAAATCGATTTGTTTCCTTTAACTCCTTACTTTGTAGAATTCAAATGCACATCCTATTGCTGCTTTAAAGGATGTAAGACGATAATACGTTGTACAGGAAGCGGCAATGCACCTGAGGCACGCATTGGACTTGAAACCGGACTACGAACCAGCGCTGGCCGCTCTGAAAGACATCGAGAACACGCCAGAGGCATCTGTGCATGTTTATACGCTCCTTATTATTGTGTGTTTGGTAAGCATGTATTTACATTTTCAGGGCACTTCCTAGCCAAATCCTGATACTTCTGGGGCTAGGTGTAGATTTTCTTATTGATTGTTTTTTGTTATCGGAATTTAAAAAGAAATATTTCAAATAGTCAATAGACTGACTTGTTTTACATGAGCCACTTTAATTCAATATTTAATCACTTACATCTTATGTTAATTTTAGTATTCAATATTAGATCTGCGTGTTGCTGAATTACTATACAACAATTATTTAACTAAATATTTGTGTTCAAATTTTGTGCTAACATTTACCGGGATATTATTTCAATAGACATTCCTATGAACGATTAGAGATAAACAAACTTTCAGACCGAATTTTTATAAGAGTGTCGATAGTCAAATGAGACCAAGGACTCATTTCGACTTTCTCTGTTAGTTTTGAGTGTCTTCTTTCTCAATTTAGTTAAACACGAAAATGCTCTAACCGGTAAAAACATTGATCAAAATAATACACTAACGCAACATATATTATACTCATAACGTGAAAATTAGGTTTACTAATTGAATTTGTTCCATAGGAGTAAATTTTGTTTAATGAAAACTTCTACAGCAAATAAAGACTATTGATAATATGTTTACACCAAATTTATGCACAGGATACTTAAGTCTACAACAGTAAATATTTTTTGACAGGAAAATAAATGATAAACAATACATCACAATGTGATAGCAACGGAAATGAGGTTTACCGCGACCGCAATATTACTTTTAAACACATATTTATCTACTTACTACATAAAAAACGATACTAGCGGGAGTTACCCAGGCTATATTCCCACAAAATTACAATTCAGTGAATTTACATTTTACAGGTGATGGGAGTGTTACTTGTGATATTATCATCAGTTGACAGCGGTGGCGACGTTGAAGAACACAAAACTCAGCGACATTTCAACCGAGCTATGGCAATGAGGTCACTCCGTGGCGTTGCTTTGCCGGGTTCTCGCGGTCGCAAAAAAGGCGGTTCCTAAACTCACCTTCACATACTAGCGATAGCCTGAGTTTATGATCTCTGGTTGTGTTCCTAAATTTAAAGTTTTTTTGTTCTTTTTTATTTTGTTGTGTACAATTGTCTAAGCGTAAGGACAGTATTTGATGAAACAAAATACCAGTTAAATTAGTTCCTAAGTTTCTTTTTTTTTACGGTTTGAATATGTAGGATCCGCAAAGGCAATATTGTTTGAAGTCCTTGGATCCCGTTAAATTTTTTATTTTGTGGAGATTGTGAACTCAGGATATGTTATGGACGTCGTTCATAATACAGACACTTAAGGCTTGATAAACAAATTACGAATAATGTTGTCTTATAGCTACAATGTTTTTACCATTAATCGCTATTGATCAGTGGCGATGTAACCAAAAATTTGTAGTACTGTTCCATTGAATTCGTCATTTGTATTCTATTGATTTTAGACAGTAACTTTTTTATTTTTCGTTAAGATTAATCTGTTTTTTTAAGTGTTCAATAAAGTAGGTCGTTTGTTTTTGAATTGACAATGTTTTAATAGGACTCCTTACTCAGATCAAATCCTAAATTGGAAGATTTTGAAGAGAAGAAAATTTTGCTTTCAAAATAACTACAACAATTATTATTATTGAAGATCACTAGAATAAGAACAAAAGACACTGAAAAGTGATTTTGTAGTTAATTTTCAACTCGGTTTCTCTACAAAATTTATATCTTTTTGATACTATTAACATAATATCAAATATATAGAATAGATATTATAATATATATAGAATGCAAAAACATTAAAAATATCAATTCTTGAATGTACCTGCACTATGAACTCATTGAACGTTTACACAATTAGAATGTCACTATCTTACATTCTTACTGCTAGTCACTAGAAATCTACAAATAATTACGTTGAATAACACGAAAATTTCTGATTGAGGAAATGCCATTTGTAATTTAGACAGTTTTTTTTAATTTGTTTGAAGCCTTTGCGTACAACATTTATTCATCTTTTGTCAAACTTATTTTCTTTCTCTTCGTCTTATCACTATTTGTAAAGTTTCAACCTCTGTGGTTATCAACTTTATTTTTTTAGCTCTGTCTAATGTTCGTGTAAAATTGGTTTTGTGGTTAGATGATATCAGAAATCAAATTGAGAGCACTTAGTGGTCAGGTCATGTCGTCATTCATTAAAAACCGCAACGTAACAAATAATGCGTTGAAATTTTAATATTTAAAGTGTAGAATAACATCAAGAATTCACATCTAGGACAATATGGTATGACACCCTTTTTTGAAGTGTTTAAATTTTATCTTAAGAAACCCAAAAACCACTGCCCCCAACAAATGACCATAAAGAACAAAAATAAGTAAATTGTGGAATAAAATTCCAAAATGTACTATTTCATTTAGCTTCTTATTTTCACGATGACAAATTCTCATGGCGTCTGGCTTTTCGCACATTTGTAAAACATACGAAAAACTGAAAACAATGAAATAATTACGTTAGTAGGGCCGTTATTTAATGTATTATTATACTGTGGCTAACGCCAGAATAGGTATATATCATACTTAATAATGACTAACTTGGTGAGAATATTTTATAATGATTATAACTAATTTGAGATGCTACACATGAACGGCTGGTTGTGCTTATAACTTATTATTTATATATTAATATTTAATGGAACAGTACTATCGGTGGGAGGCTAATGTACAATTATTCTTTATGTAAATGGGACCATAACGGTCTTGCCATTTCTAATTTGATCTCTGCTTCGTAGTCTTTTCATATTCATGATAACAGACGCGATGAGTCCTTTCAGCAGTTTGGAAATATTTAAAAAAAAACTGCTTTTCAGTATATTTACCATAAAATACGATTTACATAAAATCCGCTCCGTTCATGATTAATGTATTTGTATCTTAAGGTAAGATTGTTCTTATTTTTAAACAGGAAAAAGCTTTTGATAAGCAATAATAGTTAAATACTGTAGCTAGTTGATAATATTCTAATGTGAACAAGCTCGAATTTCAAGTATAACGCTGTAATAAAACGAATGTGTAATTGAGTATGCGATCATATAATCTTCCATATTGAACAATAAAGCTTGTGTATGAGGAATGTACACGTATCCCGTCATGTTTGAGGACGTCGGTTATGGCGTGCCAGCCTTGCAATGAGCGTATCACTTTTGCAACCTAGTCATTCACTTAGACAAGTTGGGCCCGTGCGGTGCGGGGCCCGGTGTGTGTATTTCGTTTAGTAGTGCATGCAAAATAAACTTGTTAAGTGTTCGTAGCGTCTAAGGATTTAAAAAAGGAGGGGCGAGTCTTAAATTCGAGATTGGTAAAAAATGTACCTGTTTTCAGTGGTTCTTTTGTTAATTTTTGACTATTTATAATACATGATTGTCCTAGCATTTATTTATTTCTTTGTATTTTCTTACCTCTCCTTGCAGTTTACCTGGGGCCCCACATTTATTTTAGTAATAACACTGAATGTCTTACATAATTATGCACTCAATACTATGATAATGAAACCTCACCTGATGGTAAGTTGCTATCGCTGTCCATAAACACCTACAACTCTGAGTCAAAATTGCGTTGCCGCTATTTGAGCACCCCTACCAGAATTAGGGGGAGGGAGAGGGTACCGGTGCTTTAATTTCTAGGGCATAAATGGTTTCCCGGCTACTGGTACCTGAAGACGGCGTGCCGTTTTTGGTCGGTTCGAGTCCAACATAATCACCCCACTGGTGGGTGGTATCCGTGAGGAGTTCTGCACAGGAAAAAAAAAGAAAGGGGCAGGGAGAGAGGTTTTGAGCGGAACTTAACCTGCAGTGCTATTCTCTAAGGAAACAGCCTTGTCACAGCGTCGAATTTCAAACGTACTTAGTTTGAAGTTCGACGCTGTGAATAGCACTGCTGTTCCGGTAACCTCACTAACTCGATGACAAGCAACAAAGAATTGCTTAACAGCCTTTTCTATGATGTGATGTGGCCAAGCATGGCTCTTCTACGGTCTTCTGCTTACGTGATACACAATTCCTAACAAAACATCTGTGGTAAGGAGCTTACAAATGCTTTGGTCAATGGTTTCATACAGAGTTTGCCTCGGTGGTGCAGTGGTAGCGTATGCGACTGCTGTGCTAAGGTCTCGGGTTCGATTCCCGGGTCGGTTCAAACGCTTTTATGATCTGCAAATATTTTTTTCGGAGTTTGGGTGTTTTCTATGTATAATATATATGTATTTACAAAAAAGTATAAAAGTATTTTATCAGTAATATAACAAGCTCTGCTTAATTTGAAACTAGATGGCGTTGTGTGTTAGATGTCCGAAAATATTATCATTATTTAGGGTTCGAATAATTTTTTTTGAAAAACTGTCTACATATAATCACGCGTATATGGCCAATGGAATAAGCACAGGCGTATTTAACCTCATTTTGCCGACTATAACACTCCGTTACCACACGGACGGATCACGGTCGCTCGTTTGGCCGATAGGTAAGCCCTCTAACATCGTGAATATTATATTACTTATAATTAATAAGTAATATAATATTTACTAGACAATTGTTTTATTATTTAACAAAGAATAAGAAGAAATATGTATTGCTTTAACAAAAAAAAATCTCTTGACTAAAAGTAATAAATATTATATAGGAACACTTTCTTGGTCTATGACTGGGAGTGTTATTAATTTTCTAGATAATAAATGCCACAACTCCTTCACAGCTGGACAACACACTGTGTAACTTTCTCAAGTGCAGATAAAACAGGTATTTTTTCGATCCACAACTGCTGGCTACAAAACTCATCTATTCCCTACAGCAGTGCTTATAACATACACGTTGTGTTCCCGACGAGCGTGCTGGAATTCCGTACGAGAATGCTGAAAACACAACTGTGGTGTAGCGTAACGGCAATGCGAGAAATATACGCTTGAATGTATAAATGTTTTTTCACACATTGACATTAAGATTAGAAAAAAATATAACAATACAAAACATTAGAGAGCAAACGTGTGCCTAATTGCGGTTAAAATAATTTATCCAAAATCGTCACATTGTTTTTTTTTAATATTTCAATAAAAATATCTTGAAAGTTTTTACTAAATGCAGACTTGCCTTCTACGTGTTTTGTCGTAATTAACATTACATTTTAAAGATAAATTAGTTTCGTATTTATTCGTAGAACACATATTGGACAAAATAAACGAAAATAAAAAATCATTTATACAGTCCAAGGTTATTTCTTATATATTGTACTTAGGTAGGCAGCAGTGAATGTGTAATCGATCAGCTCTGTTTATCGTTTTATACACGATAAGTGCAGCACTTTCCCGGTTCTTTTAACTTGGGAATGTAATCGTTTTCAGACGGGTAGAAGGTCAAATAGGGTAATGAGTTTTTCTATCCGGTTTCGGAGGGCAAGATTTAAGCTACAGGAGGCCCCTAGAGCAGTTATATGAACTGAGTTATCGAAGTGAATACTTTCTAACAATATAAGCCTAGTTAAAATGAGAACGCATCGAGTCTGTATATTCTGTTTACATTAGATGCAGATGACATAGCGATCCTCGCAGTGGATACGACTTCTGTCGGAGGGTCTCAAAAACTTTAAGTCTCAACAATAATTCTAAATGGCTGAAGGATTGGAGGATAAAAGCCAATGAAACAAAGTCCCTGCATGTTACCTTTACACTGAGACGTGATACATGCCCTGAAGTAGAACTGAATCAAGTAAGGATCCCACATTCAGATAGTGTCAGGTATCTAGGAATCTACTTAGATAGACGACTAACCGGGACGAAACATGTTTTTAAGAAAAGCCCTTGGTCAACAGGTGACAAAGATGTACTGGTTGTTAAATGTCCAAGTCCCAACTAACATTGGACAATAAGCTGTTACTGTACAAAGCCATACTTAAAAAGATATGAACAAGCGGCGTGCAACTGTGGGGAACAGCCTCAAATTCGCACCTTGAAATACTACAACGGTTCCAATCCAAAACGCTCCGCATGATCACCAATGCGAGATGGTACATTACAAACGCCCGATTAAACCGAGAGTTAAAGATAAAAACCATAAAGAGGGATGTAGCAGATTCGATGCAAAAACACCCACACCAACTTGCAAGGAATCTAATGAAAGAAAAACCTGGTGCAGCGTTCAGAAGATTAAGGAGACGAGCGCTACAAGATCTATTAGACACAGATACTTCAATATAATTGGTCAAATCACTGGATTTGCTCCAAACACGTCCTTATACAAATGCTTTAAATCCAGCTAAATGTTGTAATGGCAGGAATTAAGGGAGATAAAAAAAAACAATGGGAATAAGTGTTAGCCAAGTGTTTTGACTGACATCTTTTCTGTTGTTAAATCTCGTGATTAAATTATTGGCATCGTAAATCTGATCTCAAGACTGCAATGAAACTTCAGGCTTCTGTAACCAAGTGCTCTTCATGCCAGCAAAGATTTCAAACCTAAATTAGATTTTATTGTCTATTTATAACCAACTATTACGAGTATAAAGCCTAGAAACTTTTCTTACCCCAGGTATGAAATCACTTACAAATAATAAGACGATTAATAAAAAATTATAATGTATTTATTATAAAATGTATACATGTAACTGAAAAAGAGTCCACCTTGCTTTCACTTAAGCCGTTTAAAACACCTAAGCTGAAAACAATGCCTAATATTTTTTTATTATTTTACTAATATACAATTTGAATTTTAGTAAACAGGCAATTGATCATTACTTATACCTAGATAACCAAAACAGCAGCTGTTTCAAATAGCGTAGCGACCTTATTTAAAGTTAAAATATGGTTATGTCTTGATCGATATTATATTGGTGTATCTATTAGGCGGCGATGTCGTGGATGCCTAGGCGAAATATGTCGTGCTGAACAAAAAAGGAGTCTCCAAGTGGCTTCAAAACAAAGGTTTGCATGTACGGATGTGGAGGATCATCGTCGCACTGAAATAATAGAAAACTATATTTCAATAAAAGAACAAGCAAAGTGTGGTTTAGCCGATCGAGTTATAATTAACAAGAGGGCGAGAGGTATATTAATTAACAAGTCCTGCACAAAATCCAATATACATTTTCTATTTACATCAATAATGAAATAATGTGGGTAAATATTTTAAAATTAAATAATAATAATTCACCACTTCACCATTCATTTAAATCTAAGATGAACTAAACCCTAAAGTGTTTGTTAACTTGATTGAATCATACAGGTCATTGTATAAGGACTATATTATGTAGACTAACTTTTGCTGAGGATCCCTTAATGGAGTATAATTACATAAGAACATACATTTTCTTTGGGTTTATCCGTGTCAAACCTCAATGGAATGAATCAAAATTAGAAACAGTGTCTTTGAGATAAGATTAAATTCCCCTATTTATATTCTAACAATTAATTTGGCGTAACTCAATAAAAATAAATGTGATTGATAACAATTAATTGCCTACAATAACAAATAGTTACTACTAGTTAATAGTTACTACATTGTTTGTTAATATACATTTTTTAATTAATTATTATTGAAATGATAGTCAAGGATTGAACAGGTTAGTTGTTGTATGTTGGGAATAAATGCAAAACAAGCATGTATAATGTTATACATATTTAAAATTCTCGTGTCACAATGTTCGTTCCCGTACTCCTCCGAAACGGCTTGACCGATTCTCATGAAATTTTGTGTGCACATCGGGTAGGTCTGAGAATCGGCCAACATCTATTTTTCATACCCCTAAATGGTAAGGGTGACCCATCCCTAATTTTTTTTTGTTTGCAATACAACGTTTGCCGGGTCAGCTAGTAATAATACATTTATTTGAAGTCCAGATTTACATAATTTGTTTAACAATGATAGCCACACTAGGGTTAGCCTGTATCGAGGCTATCAATACAAAAACGATTATACATTTGGACAGTAGTAATATTATTAGAAATTTTGTAAATCTCATATGAAATATCTAAGCTCACGGATTTCTTGCACTAATTCATTTAGTGTACAATCAGGGTTGGTAGTACATTTAATTTTAGAGCCACGTACTGTGTTAACGTAATCACCCTGGTCATCGGTTTTTAAGATCGAGTTACGAGCTGGAGTGGTGGTATTTCCTCGTTTTGGCAGTAAACATACACAGTTGGGGCATAAGTTATGCCCCAACTGCATCACCAAGTTTGCTTGAAGTTAGAAGTAAATTTCTGGTACGCTTCTAAACTTTTATTTATGCTTTGCAGACCATAATGGCATTTACACTTAGAACAGTCCATACGATTAATTGCTTCTATATTCCTACCGCAAGCTTTACAATTCGTAGGCATCTTGATGTTCTAAAGCAATGAAGCGCTGTTTGTTATTGTTGCGCTATTAGACGGCACTTTCAGCGTAGCGATACAGCGCTGAATAGTCACCGAACACACAAACGCTTAGCATAGGTAACCGAAATTCCAGGAACAGCAGCCGAGCGCAGCGATGTGCAGGTGTCTGCGAAAACGATGTAACATACGACGCTCGGGTTCTCGTAGGTCAGGGATAATAGATGATATTTATTATGATTTTTGTAAAATGTAAAATCATTTTACATTTCACAAAAATCCTTGTAATGTGTGTGTTAAAACTTTGTAATGTGATGAAAAACCAAAGTTTTCGACACTGTACACATCACTTGCTTGTCTTGCACGGTGTCGTAGTGTATTTGTCAAAAGGTGTTTTTAACTGGTATAATGAATTTATAAGTGCGGAGCAAACTATTAGCGTGACGTCTTAATGCGACTGACTAAAATCATAAATGTAAATAACTTTAAAGTCATGTATTATAAGAAGCTCCACAGTAGATGGAAAGATCGTGTCGCCCACTTGCGACAATAGTGTACGACGACAATCTAAAAAACCGTAATTTTACAGAAAACGGCTTTTTAACTTTTAAATGAGCATAACTCTTAAATTGTTGTCAAGATCGATTTGTAATGTATGAAGTGTAGTTCAGTCAATGAAAGCTTAACTTTGCCATTTTGAGTTGATGACCTGCAACCAACCCGAAAATTTCCGTAAGGGTTCGTACATTAATATAGGTACTAAAATTGCAGGGTGCTGCATTGACGGCAAAGGGTGCAAAAAAATTGCAAAATGGTGCCAAAACGACTTTTTCGTCAATATCTCGCGACTGGCTGGGAAAATAGAAAAAAATCCTAATCCAAAGTTGTAGAAAATTAAATTTCCTACAAAAATTGTATCTCTCTGACCTTAACCCCAGATACTATAAAAAAGTAAGCATTATTGTTTTCGCGTTTTGGTGCTATTGTTCAGCATTAATCCTGACACATCGCTGGGCTAGTTTCACCTTTTTTGAAGACTAATTTCACACAAATCCCAGTACCTACTCTTTAAGATATTGAAAAAAATATGACAAAAAATAATAATAATAAATTGTAGTTTTTGTTTTTTTATTGTTAAATATACCAGGGTGATTATTACTTTATTATTATAGATACCTATTGCTTTTTTGCGATAAGGCCGCCATTTGTACATGGTCATTAACTTGGAATACTATTGTATGTATAATATCCTGAATTGGTGTACAATAAAGATTATTCTATTCTATTCTCTTTCAAAAGTTGCTGTCGTTGAATATATACAGGCTTCTTTACAGGGGGGTTTAACTCTTCGTTCTGATACATAATTTAGAGTTTTTGCTGATTTGTACGGTTTTCCACTATTTCGTAATTTCTTTGTAATATTCTTCTTAAAAAATCCAAGCTCAAAATCGATCTAAGTGGCGTGCAATGGGAGAGGCCTATGTCCAGCAGTGGACTGCAATAGGCTGATGATGATGATGATTCTTCTTCCATTTTTTTTAATAGGAGTTTCAACAGTAGTAGGAGAATTTTAAGATTCTGTTGCGGCGATAAAGCTAGGTTTATTTGGACGCCATTGATTTTCGGTACTCATAGTATCAGGTGCATCGATTGGGTTTTCATAAGGAATAAAAATTACTGAATCGATGTCTAACCTTCCTTCTTGGTTTGTCGTTTACTGACTAGTCACAGCTGTCGGAACATTATATATCACATAATGATGTTAGCGATAATGTTTCGACAGCTGTGAGCGAAAACACTGGTCGGCGGAAATCCTATTTAGAGTCGAGATCTTATAGGGAGTCAAAAACGTATCTCGTTCACTTCCCTTGATGTTTTACAAGAACACTGTGATAGGAAAATGATTACAAGAGGCTCACCTTTATCAGCTAAATCGTGGTAACCTCGTGATGTCACGTATTTCATGAAAACTGAGAGCGCAGAGAGCTGAAGCTCAGGTGACAACTGAATTGCCACTGTTTCGAAGCCCACTCACAAAACGAGACAGCGCTACACTGTGGTATTGTGTCTCTTACTCTCATTTTATGATTTACATAATCATCAACAGCTTTATATAGTCCACTGCTGGACATAAGTCTCTCCAGATCAGACAAGTTTGTGTAGGATTTGTGGCAAGTGTTCCTCCTCTTTGCAGTGCTGTTGTCCTGCATACTTGACTCCTTTAGACAGCTTTTACGACACCCAAGGTGAATAGGGATGGTGACAATCCATATTCTTAATCCCTCACCACACGGACAGTCTTGTGATTAGTTACACTAGTTACACACTTCAGTCAAATATTACTTTGGTCTCCATTAATAGGGTTGCCCTAACACGCTTATAACATACTTATCATACATAGAGAACTTGAAATTGGAGACAAATGAGCACCAGTGAATTCTGGACCTTCTAAAATTTTAGCACTGAAGCTGCACTTCAGTTTTACTCAATGGGATCTTGTTTAAGTTTTCCAATTTAAGAATTTCAATTCAATTTTCCACCACATTATGCTAAGTCCATTGCAGAGAAGGAAACTGCAACTATTTTACTTAAACATTACTAAACAGCAGTCACAATTATAATGCCTATGTATGACACCTATGATTGCTAATATATTTACTGCTATTGATTGCTATATATACAATCAATAGGCATAATTCCTCTCTGGAAATATTTTGAAACTTGATCTGATGGAGTTTTATTGATGTAAAATGGTTATAAATTAGTCTCATTAAGTTGACATTTATTAAGACTGTTTTTGTAAGTCTATTTTATATTATGATTGAAAAAGGGGGTGATAAATAAATTATCATCCTATAGTTATATGCAACTGAACAATCTGGATTAGTAATATTAGAAAACTGCTAAACCAACATAAAATTCTATTAGAACTGTGATGGGCCAAGCAGTGCAGGTAGTGCATTGGAAAAGCACTAAGATTTTACCCTTACTTTGTATCTGTTGATAAAAGTAACTAGATGTTGTGTAGTGCCAGCCTGAACATGTCATGCTCTACATAGAATGAATTTCCTATTGGCCTCAGTACAAATGTTTGAAAGTATGCATGGGGTTGGTCATCATCTGTCTGTTGTAAATGTACAATTGATTAGCCAGATATGGATTTAGAATTGACAATTTTCAGTTGAAAAAATACATATCATTTGCTTTAGGAGGCAAATGATAAAACTTTAAATTTAATAGAGTAGTCAGCGGTTATGAAATTGTTGAAACGAAATAATAAAAGAAACAACAAACAAAGTACTTATGCCAATCAGATACTCTAATTCGGTTGTGAATAACACTTTTCATGTTAATGTACCTAAAAGCTAGACAGTTAAAATCTTTAACAAACAAATGAGTAGCATAAAGTTTAATATTAATGTGAAAATATAAGTACCTGCAGTTGTCCGAGTACATTGATAAGGACTCCTCCATCAAATGTGGGTTGTGAATCTACAGCAGTTATAATCCTCCCAATCTTTTGAAATGTCAGACTCTAAAACAAAACAAATAAATATTTTTATTAAAAAAAAAAGTATGTTATCATCATCAACAGCATTTTAGTCCACTGCTGGACATAGGCCTTTCCTTATAAAGGAGGTTTTGGCCTAATATACCACAGTGGTTGGAGCAGTTGATATAGGGATAGTTTCAAGTTTTCCTTCTCTTTGAAGTATTGTTGTCCTATATAGTTTGCTCCTTTAGTCAGCTCTTATGACACCCTGGGACAAATAGGTGACAAACAAGAGTTGTCTTATAGCAATTGAATACTTACATAATAGGAGTCCTAGCTCCTCTTACACTTCAGCAAAATGATTGGAGTCAGTTAATCTTTAGACAGAGATACCTTTTTTCGTAGATGTTGAGGCAAGATGTGTGAGTGATTTTGACATGTGATGTTAGCATTTGCTCTATACAAACAAATTCAATTGTGAGATAATTCAATATCATTCAATAAAGAGAATGCAATTGTTTATGGATATACCAAAACTATTCACTGTATTGTATAGATAAAAAGAAAAGGTATTTTTTTTTTGTAATGAGCAAATGAGCAGGTGGGTTACCTGATGTTAAGTGACACAAATGACAAATCCCTAAGCATGCAACTGCAAGTTGAACACACAATCACAGAACTAGTGATCTTGTACTACATAGAATTCCTATTCCCATCATTTTTTTTATGCTACAGAGACAAACAAGCAGGTGGGTTTACCTGATGGTAAGTAACTACTGCCGGATGAACTATGAACTATCAACTATGAACCTATATCTCAAGAGTCAAAAGACTGTTGCTACCCTCCAGATATTATTTTTACAGGGGACTCATTGAGGAGTCCTTATATTACATAGTTACTAGTGGACCGGACTACCCTGCACACTTGTCTTAAACTAAAACTACATTTCATAGTATTAAAAACAGACAAAAATATTTCATCAAAATCCGTCTAGCCTTTTGGAGAGTTCAGTCTCATAGAATTATATATATTATATAGAATGCGAACAGTAGGTACTAAGAATTATTTCATTCAAATTGACAAGCAAGTATCATTGACCCCAAGTAATATACATTGATAAGTAAAATTGACCTGTGATACATACATTTAACTTTTCCATGATTTTTACTGCACCCTGCAATTGTACACCTTCAAAGGTCATGAAGGAGGTTTCAACCTGCAATAGATATTGAAATTTAAAATCAGTTGTAATATAAATATCTTTATCATCTATTGGAGAAACCTTCACCATTAGTGTAATATGTATATGAGTCACATTTGTTTTGACTAACCTATAACTTAGATTTTCTTGCTTCTTTTTCGTAAACAATGGCAAATAAATGTAATAAGTGGCGTTCTTCATTATTTGTAGTAACAAATTTGGAACATTTACAATTAAAGACACAATTTTCGGCGGGAGGGATATATTAACCTAAAACTTTAAAAATTTATGCAACAATAAAAGTAAACGAATGTGAGCCATACAAACAAAGAAAGTATTCTGTACACGTAGGACACGGGTATACTACTTACATTATACATATTAACCAGATTTGGTCGCTGTACCGGATCATCGAACAGTGTGTAGTATTGCTGGACAAATCCTTTTCCAATTGCATCATATTGAGGATTGAGCGCCATCACGATAGCCTTTATTTACCTAAATTCAACTAAAACTATCCAGGATCACTTTTAACTGTCGTATGCAGATATTTTAAAGGTCTTTTGCATACCCTGGAAAGAATCTTTTATTCGTCAAGAGAATTGGCAAACCGTTTCGAGTGTTGCCTTTTTAGAAACTTTAGTAACCAACATGCCACTGTGCCACAGAAATAACAGAAATACGGAATATTATTATAAATAGCGATCTGCCCCGGCTTCGTACGGGTGCAATGTAGATACTACTAATACACTGTCAGTGTGGAGTAATTAATTATACTATTAGTATGATAAGACAAAAGAATGACTTAGACTAGCAGATTACCGATCCAATTTTCGGTCACAATACGATATAATCACTTACAGTCAACGTTGGATGTTTAAATTTACTACGATAATAGTTTTTGTGACAGTTGTAAGATCGAGAGTTAATCTTACCTGAATTTTCATTACGGAAATAAAATTGGCCTTCTAATCTTGATTTTTGATTTACCATTTGTATGTTGATTTTTTAATTTTTAGTTTCAGTATTACTTAATAATAAAGGAAAATAATTTTTAAAATACTTATCTTTCGCATGAAACCAAAACCTAAACCGAACTTTCGGCCCTTGTTTCAGTTTGGGCCGTAGCCGAAACTCAAACTATCATTTCAAAATTTCAACTGTATACTGAAATCTATTGTATTTTAGCCCTTAACCTGCTTATACCTACATACCACCTAAAACCAATGTAATATCCCTTATTACAGCTACAAGGCATCAATTCTAAATAAGAGAAAATGTATTTTGTAAGGTAGGTAGGTAAAAAATACGTAGCTAGGTACTAAATACTTGAAATTCACCTGTCTAACTGAAATAAAGCGGGAAAGGACGGGCGGATAATTTAAACGGACTCATAGTAAAAGTTAAGCAACTGAAGATTACTTAATTATTATTTTTAAGTTTTTTGGATGGTTAAAAATAGTAAAATAGGATTATGGATTTAATTCGACAACAAATAAGGATCTACAAATAAATAAATCTAAGGATCGTATTACAAAATGATACTCAAAACTCCAGAAAGGCATGAGGTTAAATATCGCCTTTTAAAACTGCGTTTCTTGAATTTTGAGTAACGTTCTGAATACGGCCTATAGAACATCTAAACCGAACATAATCTCACAACAATATTAGGTACAAGTAAAATCAATACAAATACATCATTATTTATGCGTAAAACACAACTAACAAGATGAGTTAGTCGTGGGAGAGCCATGCCTCGGCACACATGGTCTTGACCGGAGCGATGCCAAGGCTTTACATAAAACCTATTAAGCAGTTCTTTCGTTGCTTTTCACCGAGTGATAGAGCTTACCGGAACCATCAATCGAACTGTCTGCTCGCTTGCTCCTAAACACCAAAAAAACGGACGGACACTGGACGGTGGCGAAATGAGTCAGAGCCGATGTCCACTAGCCGCAAAGTTAACCGAACGACGCACAACACTTACGAACTTTGAATTTCGGTGCTGCCTTAAATTTCAACTAATTTTGGCTTAAACTGACACTTGAACTGAAACAACATTTTTTTGGGGCGAAACTGGCCGAAACCGAAACCGAACTTCGGTCGGTTATTGGTAATAACTAAAAAAATGTTTAGTGGAAAATTTAGCGGAAAGTTAACGTGTGAGTGACTTTTATCACGGTGACAAGAAAGTTTTTGTCACTGGCACGTCACGTCTTCAAAGTGCGCTCACGAAGAGTGACAATAGAGATATAAGAAAAGAAGAAGCCTAAAGGGTGATGCCAGCAGAAAGCTGTCGAAGGCCCCTTCTTGCCGTCTGTCTCCAATCCGTAAAGAGCACTGCACTGATTAGAAAACGACAATTTTCTCTCTCGCACTTGGCATTACTGCACATCAGGTACTAGGTGGATCACTTGCTTTATTCTTAAATCACAGTGACAAAACTTTTTTTTTTCAATTTAGTAGTTTGCTCCCTTAGTCGGCTCTTACGACAACCACGGGATGAATAGTATTAATAATCCGTCACCACACAGTTGCAATAAAATGTTTTTTTTTTCACAATGGTAGTTTTGTCACGGACACTTGTCGTCGGACAAAAATGTCACCCAGTTGTCGAATGGGGCGAATGGCGACGTGTGCGCAGCCTTCATATAAACTCACAGTCCGGACTAGAGTGGCAAAACGGTCACAGTGAAAAAAGTCACCCGTGTGCGCACGCTCTTAGTGGTTTTCTGGTGGTTATAATTATGTTGAAACTGTTGGAGAGTTAATTTAACTGTTGGCAGCACTGTGTCTAGTGTCTTCCGTCAGATTGTTTACGTTTGTGACTTGACTGACATTAGTACATTACAGTTGAACTGAGTGTTGCTTTTTGATGAGATTGCTTAGTAATCTGAGCCTGAGTGACAACAGTTTACAGTACGCGCGAGACGTTTGCCTGGAATTGTCGATGGTAAAAATACCACTTATACGGCAAGAAATTGGTTGATCTATTTCTCATATAGTGATAAGCTAGCTAAACACCTAGCAAAATGTCTTTAGCTGATGAATTACTTGCTGATTTGGAAGAAAATGATGATGGTGAATTGGAAGCGCTTGTTGAAAATAAAATGGATGTGGACCATGAGTTTGCAGTGCCATATCCTGTAATTCCAAAGGAGGAAGATATTAAAAACGTTTCTATAAGAGAGTTGGCAAAACTGAGGCATTCTGATCGTTTAACACGGGTAAGCTTTTAATACCATTGTAAAACTATTTAGACTGTTAGCAAATTATATCGAGAAACAAACTTTTAAACCATGAAGTACATTTCAGGTTATGAAAGAAATAGAGCATAATATTGGTAATAATAGACAAAAGGTGGAGGTTACTGGGTTGATGGAAACTGATCCTGAGTACCAGCTTATTGTAGAAGCCAATAACATAGCCGTTGAGATTGATGGAGAAATTGGTAAGTTACACGAATTTAACATTTCATATTTCGAAAACAACATATAATAAATGTTGAAGTTGATAAATAACTTTGTTTTGCTCACATTACAATCAAATAACATTCATGGTATTTATTTCTATCTAAATATTGTCAATTAGTGTTTTGTATTTATTTCCTAACAGTTAGGACCAGCCATTGTTCTATGTAAATTTGTTTGTTTGAAATATACATACTGTATCCAAGACTATAATGTAATATCTTATATCATTTGGTTAAAAAATTGTAAATACCATTAGGAAAAACTAGTACACATTAGGTTAACATAAACGTAAGACAAAAATTCTATTTTTCAGCTATTATCCACAGATATGTTCGAGATAAATACCAGAAACGTTTTCCTGAATTGGAATCCCTTATTATATCCCCACAAGACTATATACGGTCCGTGAGAGAACTTGGTAATGATCTGGATCGGGCTAAAAACAATGAGATACTTCAAAGTTTTCTTACTCAAGCTACCATTATGATTGTGTCTGTAACTGCATCCACAACACAAGGGTATGTAACATAACTCACATATAATAATACTATTGCTTTTGTACACAACAATCAAATATAGTATAAGACAGTTGAAATACTTTTAATTCTTAAATCTGTTTAAATTGAAACAATGAAGTTTATAGCTTACTACTACGTAAATGATTGTATTTGTATTTGAAAAAAATGATTAATTTATTTATTTTATTATTGATTAAAAAAGTTTGGCTTAATAATTACTTATATTCAAAATAATGTGCTAAATATGAAAAAGTTGTTAATTTAAAGCATAATATACATGTACATAACCAATTGAATTACTTACAACTAAGTTAATTGCTTGTCTAAAGTTTTAGTTGTTTATAATAAAATTGTATCTTAAATTAATGCAAAATATCTATTTTTACATTTATTCCTGCTAGTATTCAGTTATTTGCTTCATGCTTTTAAGGCCCTGATTATAGATGAGTTACAACCTTAATATTTACAATGCAGTAATAATTAAGAACTGCAGTTTCTCATTTCTATTTAACTAAGTGACTTAGCAAATAAATTAATCATGTTTCAGGAAATTATTGACAGAAAAAGAACTTGCTGAAATAAATGAAGCATGTGACATGGCAGCAGAGCTCAATAATTTTAAAGCTAAAATATATGAATATGTGGAAAGTAGAATGGCTTTCATTGCTCCTAATTTAACTGCTATAGTTGGTGAGTTCCTTTTTTTTCAATTTATATTTTATGAACAATCTGTACAGAGGTAGACTTAATGCTAAAAGCATTCTGTTTCAGTCTAATTTAGGGTGATGTAGAAACGATAGAAGGAGAAATTAGTGTAAATACTGTAATTGATTACACATGAAACAGAAATGCACAAGATTGTTAATAAACCATAAACAAGCAAAAATATCTCTTAGAATATATATTATTTTCTTGTGCTGATTTGAGTTTGTTATTTCATATAAAGGTGCGTCAACTGCTGCTAAGATATTGGGAGTAGCTGGGGGCCTGTCGAAGTTGGCCAAAATGCCATCGTGCAACATCTTACCACTCGGTCAACAAAGGAAAACATTGTCCGGGTTTTCACAAGCTGCTGCCTTACCTCACACTGGATTCATCTATTTTTCATCAATTGTTCAAGATACTCCCCCTGTAAGTTGTATGTGTTTTTTAAAGGAACACCGATTCTACATACAGTTATAGCATATGTGACTGCTGTTTTGAGGTCTAGGGTTCGATTTTGGGGTCGGACCTTGAGATCTGCAAATATTTGTTTCGGGGTTTGGGTGTTTTCTATGTATAATATGTATGTACATATTTAAAAAAAAAAGTATATAAGTATTCTATCAGTCAATCTCGCTTTATTGTACAAGCTCAGCTTAGTTTGAAACTAGATGTTGTTGTGTGTAAGATGTCCTAAATAGTGGTGAAGTACTAAGCAGTACTAAGGAGGCTTACTACTTGCTACTTAAAATTAAACCAATATTCAGTTTTAGATTACAAAATCTATTCTATTCAGTTTTAGTTTTTTAGATTATTCATGAGATGATTTTTTATCTATCTCTATTTCTATACAAAAATAATGTAAGGAACCTTATTTGTCCCTCATCACTTGTCTGAAACTACTTTTAATTTCGTAGTGGAAGTGGTGGTGGTTAAGCTAAAAGAGCTTCCATCGAGTTTCTTTTTTTTTATATTCTACCACATTCACACATCACCATCTAGTCCCAAACTAATCATGGCTTGTACTATGACAACCAATATACATACAGACTTTTTTTATAAATACATACATATTATACAAAGAAACACCCAGACTAAATGAAACATTAAATATTTACGCACACAAATGTTTGACTTGAGCGGGAATAGAACCTGCGACCTTTGCAATAGCAGTCCGTTACACAAACCACTACGTCATCCGGTTTGTACAATTGTGACCAACCACACTATATGTCACAATTTTACTAAACTTGATGGCATTTGTCTTGGCCATTTGTTTGTGCAAAGTGGGCGACCACATTCGCGACTGCAAAAAAATAATATAAACACTCAATTCCATTTTCAAGTGGAAAAATTGCTGCTATTAACCTAATCATGTTTTTTGTAGGAATTAAGATACAAAGCAGCGAAACTTGTATCAACAAAAATTACATTGGCGTCGCGAGTTGACGCATGTCACGAGAGTACAGATGGAAGCATTGGCCGTGCTCTACGAGAATCCATCGAAAAGAAACTAGATAAAATGCAGGTAATAAACAATGCTTGACGTACAATACTGATGAAACAATTATAAAAAACAAACCAAAACTAAAATCTTAAAATATTATTTTGTATATGGTACCTTCTTATGTTCGTTAACTAGTTATATGTTAGTAATCTTTCTCACGGATAAGAAGTACATTCCTTCATCCATAACTTCGACGAAGTGTGACAGTGTGTGACAAGAGGGTCCTGTGTCATGTAGTCATATTCTCAAAACCTCTATCTAAATTAGAATCTGTATTAAAGCTTGAAATTTGAATTATTACTCGTATCAGTAATATAAGTTATCGTTTTTTGTTTTTGTTTAATGTTTAATTTAGGAAATGCTATTTGAATTTAGTAATTTCTAGATGTAAAATTGCAAAATATGTGATAAAGACAGGGGTGGTTGTTAAAAAACCATGAAATTCGATTGACGTAATTTATGTGATTAAATAAAAGATACTGTACTAAAACTCTTTTCTGTTTATTAGGAACCTCCTCCAGTAAAGTTCGTGAAGCCCTTACCAAAACCGATCGAGCAGAGTCGTAAGAAGCGCGGTGGCAAGCGTGTACGCAAGATGAAGGAGCGGTACGCAATGACAGAGTTCAGGAAAAACGCCAACCGACTTAACTTCGCTGACGTGAGTGTAACGTTTGACTTCATTTGTGTTTTGCCCAAATTAAATGCTTATTTTGTGTTAACATTTAAGACACTCAATAGACGTAGTATTGAACTCTGTGTTCAATTTTGTTTGACGTTTGAACAGAACGTTTGCATATGAACGGCATCCAACGATTCCTTTCAAAACATGTGATTAAAATTTCACATCATAATTCAGAGAAAGTTTTTTAAGAAATACCTTTAATCACTTAAATGCAAATCTGGCATTTGAAAATATTTTTATTTCTAGTGTATTTAAGGTGACCTTAATTAAATGTAGATGGGAAGGTGTTAATAATTATTTATTATTTAATACTAACAAATTTATTGATAGTTATTGTTAAACTTTTATATTAGATGTAATTTAAAATAACCAGCCTAACATATTTCATGCACACTCATACCTTTGTATATTTACAAGAGTGATTACGGTTTTGCACTCATCGGCCGATGCAGCGATGTTCGGATAAAATCTATATTCTTCTGTCACCTCACTTAGCGATTCAGAAAATGCTGCGCCATATTTTCGCCTTAACTTAGTTCAAATTTTTGACTTTTGGCCTTACTGAGCATTGTCAATCGTAACTGTGGACGGGAGTCTAATAAACTTGTATAAAGGAATGCTTCGCTTTATATAGGCTCGACCTGAGTAATTGAACAGTTTTTTGTTGCTTTTCATTGAGTGAGTGGGTTTACCAGAGGCTCAACCTCCCCCTTCCTTTTAACTCAAGGGAGGAGTAATTCAAAGAGCAACAATGCAGTTGTCCCTTGAGTTGCTCGTATCTGAAATGCGGATTGGGTTTACCCTGCCGTGAGTGTCGGTTAAATAAAAATAACCTTGAGCTTTACAAATAGACTTCGAAAAAAAGTTGTCAATGGACGTATTTTCGTGTGTTGATTACTCCATGTTGCTAATTGCTAGTTTTTATTACATTTAAATGATGTCTGCCAAATAACTAAAGAACGTTTCATGCGTATCCGTTGCAGTTTGTTTAAGAGAATTATAATTCAGAAAGTTTTTTCACTCTATCAATTTACCGCTCTTTCTTGATATACAAAATTACATAGATATTTCAATTAGTGAGCTAGCTATAATTCGTGTTAATTCCGTTCATTACTATTCCGTAAAAGAAGTAAAACAAGCGAGATCTCCATAATTGCCATTGATAGTGCATTATGAAACGTTAATCATTGCATTTTACAAATAAAATTATCTTTGGCTACGGTGTGTTCACTGACTCTTGCAGTAAATGTGACGTCACGCTCAGTGGGCCACGGCAGATACGTTGAATTTTAAATGGTTCGGCAGAAGTAGCCTACGCAGTTTTTTTGCATGCTACAAACAGACCGGAACACGACCTGATGAAGCGCACAGACGTCCGTGCTGGTCCCGTTGCGCATGCGTCTACTATGCCATTTGCTATAATAGGTACACAGTATTCACAGACCGAAATATTGACAGGCAGACGACTGTGATAGACCTATATCTATTTATATACCTAGATTTAAACCTGTTTTTTTAGGTCTACGGTTCAAGGTTTTCTATTATGCGGGCTGTGTGTTAGTTACCTACTTAGATCAAAGTTTTGTGGTAGGAACGTATGTAGGTATAATCTATACTAATATTATAAAGCTGAAGAGTTTGTTTGTTTATTAGTTTGTTTGTTTGTTTGAACGCGCTAATCTCTGGAACTACTGGTCCGATTTGAACAATTCTTTCAGTGTTAGATAGCCCATTTATCGAGGAAGGCTATAGGCTATATATCATCACGCTAAGACCAATAGGAGCGGAGCACCAATGATGAATGTTTCAAAAACGGAGAAATTTTATTACTATTGAGAGACGCAGACGATGTTGCGCGGGTCAGCTAGTCAAATATAAACGTAGCTTGTTAAATCAAATATTAGTTCGGTTCATATATTTTTAAAAGGTAGTACGATTTAAATCGATTTTCTGTTCAATCTTGGACTTGTTATTCAAAAAAGAATTTATAATATACTAGCTGGTACCCGCGACTTCGTTCGCGTGACTTTTGAAAAGCGTTGCCTTAGTGATGTAATACGTTACGCGAGTGCAGTCTATGAGGCCTTGGGTTTGATTCCTGGACAGGCATAGGGATCGTGCAAATAACCGTGTGAGCATGAAAAAACCTATTATTTTGACATTACAAAAACAAAACTTCAATTTTATTTATTTGTATAGATATAAGTATTACTATTATATGATATTCTCTGTCAAACTATGGTCAATACGGTCACTATTAATTTTTTCCTATTCCTAACTACTACTACTAACTAACTCCTAGGTCGAAGGTAAAACTTTTATACCGCTCTGCGAATACCGTTGTGGCTTATTTGATTGCTTCCAAAAATATCAATTAAAAGTTCTGAGCTAACAAATATAAAAAAAAATACAGTCGAATTGAGAACCTCCTCCTTTTTTTGAAGTCGGTTAAAAAAGTTACGATATTCAGTTAAATGTAGAGAAATCCATTTACATGTGGAGCACTGGCGCAACATCCAGCTCGAGAGGGTAAACAAACAATGAGTAATTTTTTTTTATGACTGGTAATACCCGAAAAGTTAAGACCTCCTTTCGTAAATAACACGATAGGTAGGGCTAGTGTGATTATTGCAGTAATTGGCTTAAAAACATTTTTCCGAATTTGGCAATGATTTTATTATCTGTCATCTATCTGTGATTTTGTCATTTTTTTTTATATAAACCTGTACAGAATGGCCCTTACAGGCTTTGTTTTTAGAATACTGATATGATAACTGAACAAATTAGGAGCAACATCTCGGTTTATTTTCAACAATAGGTTTATTAATTGTTCTGAAGGCACGTAAGTACATGGTTAATCTTTGATTTAAGATTCTGCAACTGCGCGTTAAGAGCAATATAAGTAATTATGAAAGTAATCGACTGTTAAAACTAGTATTTTACTATTCGTGTTTTTAAACGAATAATAAATACACCACAGAAACATACAAAAAAACTTTATGTAGCAATGTGTATTGTTGCCTCATAAGCAACAGAGAGTATGAGAAAAAAAAACAATACTGTATCGTATGTGATGGAAGAACGTGTGGTATTACAAGTTGTAGGTATCATCTTGTTGCTGCGGCGTCGATTGTCGGCCCGCTTAATTACACAACGATTGAAAACTATTAACTACCCATCTGTTTTTATTTCTTTTACTTTCAATCAAAGATTTTATTTGTGATTTTTTTTGAAAATCGAATGGGATTTGTTAACTCTCACTTTATGGGTTTAGATAGTTTCTCATGTTAATATGAGTTTAATATATTACAACATTAAATAAACTCAAATTGCCAGAAAGCTTCAGCTCTTATTTGAATTGTGATATATTAATATTGGTTGCGAATGTGTGAATTATACAATAAACCTGGGGAAATTAATAAAAACTTTCGTTTAATCTTGTGAGTTATGAAGCCAGTGGATTGTCAGCACATTGGCGTAGAAATCACTATAACAGGGTTTTAGAACACACTCTCCTGAACGGACACAACAAAATTTTGTAAGGAAGTTATTCGCATAGTCTTATCATAATCACCATCAACTTCATGCCCATTTCCATATTTTATTATGCGTTGTCGCAATAAGTGACATTTCTAAAGGTTTAGGATAGTTGCTTTTATGCCTGGCTTCTGCTTGACGATAAAATTCTTTGGGAATGTAATAGGGCCTCTCTTTACTATATTATTTATCCTCCATACGTAGGGCGAAAAAGCTGGATACCGCAATTGTCGGATAGGATTGCAATAGCTCGCGGGCTTTGTACGTGTGCCTGTACTTGTATATCCTGTACTTGGATAGGTCACTACAATAATATCAAGTGGCCAAAAGCAACATTGGCTCTTATTGTTTCTATATTTAAACAAATTAGACCCAAAAACTTTAAGTTCTACATTGTAGTTGTAAATGGCGTCTTCTAAAATACATTATTAAAATCTTATTTTACTTGCAGATTGAAGATGACGCGTACCAAGAAGATCTGGGTTACACGCGTGGCACTATAGGCAAATCGAGCACAGGCCGCGTGCGTCTGCCTCAAATCGATGAGAAGACGAAAGTGCGCATTAGCAAAACTCTACAGAAGAACTTACAGAAACAGCAACAGTACGGTGGCGCTACCAGTATTCGGCGGCAAGTCTCCGGCACTGCGTCTTCTGTCGCCTTTACTCCTTTACAGGTATGTATCTACATTATAGATATATATCATTAAAAAAAAATCAAAACGCATAAAATATGTAAACATTTTCATGAATTAAAAAAGCTTCGGACATAGGCTGTGCAAAAATCATGTCACTTTTCTTATTTTTTCTGCAATTAAGAAGAACTACGGAGTTGATTTGCCTTGTGTGATTTACTAGTGCTTGTAGAAAACTTGTACCATCTACATAATGTCACATCGTAGGTATCATAAAAGAAGATCAGACTAGCGCAATCTAGTAGATATTTTAGTCGATGTGCTGACTGTATATAGCGATGTATGTTAATGTATTTATTCTTTATTGTACACTAATACTAAATAAGTGACAAGGAAATCACATGTACAAAAGGCGAGCCCTTAGAGTGAATAGAGGATAGCAGAGAACGTAAAAAATATATAATTCAAATAAATACCAACATTAATTTATATAGCCATATATATATATATATATATATATATATATATATATAAATACATACAATAAAATATACAGCCACTTACAAGGTCATTTGTTGTCATTTGTTTGTGTTAAGTTTTCCTTCTTTTTGCAAAGCTGTTGTCCTGCGTAGTTTGCTCCCTTAGTCGGTCTTACACCCACAGGATAAATAGGGTTGGTGACACTCCGTATTCTCAGTCCGTCACCACATCGGATACAGGGGGTCTGCTACGTAAATATTTCTTACCAGATACTCACTAATTAAAACATGATTTCGGTGCATTAAACTCACGATAGTTTCCATAGTCTATTTCTAAAAGAATATTTATTTATTATATTTTATTATATTTTTTTACAAAGATAATTATCTTAGTCTAGTTAGATTAGACTTTGAACTAAATGATAACTTAAAAGCTAGTGGAAGCATGCAGAAATAATTGCCTTGCAAAACTACAATAAGGTTTAACGGTGCTCGCGCCACCTTTCTACTACCGCGGTATTACATATTATTTATAAATAATGAACGAGTGCATATGGTGAGTGTAGTAAATCCAAGTTTTATTTAAGCATAACGTAAACCTACCAGATCATTGGTATTAACTTTGCGTTTCAAATTCAATGAATTTTAATTGGTATGTACATATAAATTAAAGTAATTGCTTTAAGGGGAGCCTAACTGACTGTCAGTCAGATTGTTATTTTTAAGTATAAAAGTATAATCTTAGCCATTAACATTTTCTAAAGACACTTGTAATTAGACACAATAGAGACATTAAAGTTCTTTTTAAAATGATTTTTTCACCTTTATCTACAAAGTTTGTAAAACTTGCAGAAACAATATATTTTAACAGCCATACCTAAACACAAATACGCAAATGTTATCAGAATAAGATGCGAAATTCTTTAAAGCGATCCATATACGATTGGCATTGAATCCATCCAACTCATATTTTCAATAAAAAAATTAAAATGATTTAAAATAATATTATTTTTATTTTATATTGTCGGTTGTCACATTGGTTAACAAGGTCAACCAATATATATATATATATATATATATATATATATATATATATATATATATATATATATATATAAAATCATACATTTGTATGACTGTTGTTGCGGGACAGTTATATAATTTACAAAGTTTGGCCAGCGTCAGCATGCGTCACACACAGCAATACTTATAAGCCAGAGTAGTGCTTTGATAAAAAGTAAGGTGCAATCACGACTATAGTGTTATATGGGCATCGTAGTCACGGCTATAACAGAATCTCATCATTGCCGCCGAGACGTCGTGAGATGCGATACACAACATTCACTTGCAGATTATATCATTCTAGACTTTGAAATATCTATGTTGATAAAATGATTGTCCCCATTTAAAACAGTTTCAGAGCTTACTACTGTTTTCAAACTTTTAAAATTCAAACTTCGAATACTGGACCTGCAGTAATCACTTGGCCAATAGATATTCACAGGGACAGACTATGGATTTGATAGATACGCACATTCTTAAACTAGATAGAACGAATCGAACTTGACATAACCAAACTTAATTAAATGATGTCATTAAATACCTCGTAACTTATTAATTGCCTTGGATGGTAAAATAAGCTAAAACTAATGTAAAAAACTGAGACCGTTAAGTTTAGTAAGTGATTCTTTACATGAAACATAGCTCTAGCGCTCCATAAGCCAAATAATATACAAATGCTTCATTGCGGAGAATTAAGTAGCATTTATATTTCTCACGTTCTGAACCTATTGGCATCAATTATTTCAAGAACTTTCTGTAATAAAACCTTTGATGGTATCCATTGAAGCATAACAAAATATAATTACATTTACGTAGTTTTGTATATAAATCGTGAGTATCTCTGTAAGTAATTTATTCAGTGTAATAACAGAACTATCACGGCCAGTGATAAATGAAGTGTAGAAAGATTAATTTAGTTTGCCGTTTACAAGTTATCTCTCCTATAGATATTTAATTATGGTGTACGTTATTGATGTATCGACATAATAATTTATGGCGATTATCACGCTATTTTACAGTCACCATTAATGTCTTCTCTAAAACTATATCCATATAAGATATATATAAATGGCTTTTGCTCGCAGCTCCTCCTGGTGTTAAAGGGTACCCTATATCTTTTGTGTTGAGATCGTGATAACTTTTATGTCAATTTTAATTATTATTATCGATAGAGTAGTTAAGGTGTTGAAGCAAAACAAACAAATTCACTTTCGCGTTTATAATATTGGTTTAACAAGTATTTTCATTTATTTATGTGTGCCGACAAATTCAGATGTATTTAGCCATTTTAATAAAACGCCAAACTTTTGCGTTTTTTTTTTATAATAGTAAGATAACTCGTAAAGGTTCGTGTCCTAGGGCAAGATATGGAGAAGATTGAACATAATCCACCTAAAATATAGATATCTACATATCATATCTACAATGTGGGATTGCGCGTGACTATTCCATCATACGTACATACGTAAGTACTCGGATTAGTCTTCACGTAAAAAAAGTATCTCGGTATTCTGTTTTGTAATTAACTGTGTGTATGTAATGTAACTATCCATAAAAGTTTAAGTTTCTTTTATTACATGTTATTTATTACGTGTTACTGTAACTGTAACGTGTATGAGCTGTATGTTATGCATCGTTTTGCTTCATTGTATCTTAATGTATTTTTTAACAGTTAAGATTAGATTAATATTACAAGGCGGGTTTGTGATATTTGAAATTTTATTCTTTTGTGTGTCTTCCTTAGCTGATGAACATACATACAAATGCAGCAAAGCCATGATAATCACCATACCATAACAATGTATGGTGATTAACATTTATGTTATAGAGATATACATCCATAACGTACCTATATAGACGAGAGTTAACTTGTGAACAAACGAACTATTTTGAAGTCGGTTAATCTTATTTTAAGCATACATTAAAACCGTTTACAAGTAAGTGCAAGTTTTTTTTTAACTCATTTACGACAACGGTTACATTGATGTACTTTTAGAATAATATATAATGTTCCGATGGCATTTTGATTATGCAAATAAAACATACACAGCAGTCAAATCAATTTCATTCTTTAATAACATGTAGTGCACCTATTTTATAGTCACGAAAGGCAATAAAACTAACTAAACGTAACATAAACGTTTTAAAATTACACAACATATATATACACAACTTTGACTGTAAAAAATCTGTGTCGATGTACGCAGTTTACATTGTCGGAGTTGTGCCGTAATTTTGTACATTGTCTCACGTATTCATTTACCAGTTTATACATAACAATAATAGAGTCATCTTCTCATTATAACATAACAGTATTGAGATTTTCTGCATCTTATCTGTTCATAATTGTGACCTGACAATAGACTTATGTTTTTAACGACCTAAATATTTAAACAATGGTGTAACAATAGCCGCCCGTAGACTACAATTTATTAATTAGAAATACATCTCTTAGATGAATACATTAACTTTTCACGAATAAATTAGTTATTCCGTGTAAATATTTTCACATTATTTTACTATCCGTAAAAGTAAATGATGTAATATTTCGTTGACATTTTCCTCAAAATCAGCAATTAACAAAATTTATTTCAATATTTAAATTTTTAAGTACTTCAATACGTCGATTGGCTAATATAATTATATTAAAACAACTTTTATTGACAAAAACAACGATATATTCTTTTTAAAGTCAATTTATCACTGAATCTCCAATTGATTAAAATCGAGACGTAATAATTTTGCGCATAGAAAACTAAATAAAATCCTAAAAACATTATCTACAAATATACCCTCTTTACTGCAACAGAAAAAAAACAAGTCTGGTAACTAAGTGGTTAATGTCCAAGACATCGTTTTTGTAAAGCTCTTGCTTTGGTTTTATGCTAATGAGTGAAATGGAATTATTAGTACACCATATACGAGTATACTAATAATTCGGTATCACTTATATACTTACAATATACTACAACAATATGTAAGAATTACTAATCGAACAAACTAAAAACTGTGCCAAAAAAAGACTTTTGTTTTTCATTTTTATTGAATTCTTCTTACTAATAGCATTACTTAATCTGTATGTTCCATATCTAAATATATTAGATGATATAACATTTAAACTGACTGGCAGTAGACTTTATACAAAATCTTTCTCAATTGCAAGCTAGTGGCCTTTCAAAAAACAGTTTTACAAGAAATTGTCGCTGGGTCGTCGGACTTTCCATAGCTTTGTGATTATACAGATCGTCATTTTTGAACACAGATACTCTGCCGTTAAGTTTTTATACATTAATAATCTATCTGTGGGGATAATTACCTGTTTATATTTTCCGCATCACTGCGGTTCCCATTATTAGCGCTATTACGCCACAAGATAACTATTTAGGAAGGATTGTTCTCATCGTATATATCACACGTAGATCTCGTCATACCCTTGAATGAACGTACGATACTTAAATCGATAGAAGTAAAGGCCATTTTTTGTAGATAAAATCAACATGT